ATCGGTTTGGTTCTTAAACGGTTCTCTTAGTGGTACTTTTTGTTGTACAAAAAACAAATTGAATAGAATAAACAACACTTTATAATGTTATTATGCTTTTAATGTAAAATAAAACGAAACCAATAATTGTAAAACAAATAGACTTTTCCTGTAAAAGAATGTACAATTGTTTTAAGGAAAGTGGCTCAGTTTTTAAGCATTTTTCTGGAGAAAAATCAACATGTTTGCCTTTTCTAGCAGAAATGGCCGTGATTTCAATGGTAAAAAAAAACTGTAAAAATGCTACAGTCAAGTCCGTAACCTGTTTAACGGTATGTTTCCTTAATATATATACGGCGAATAACCGTAAATTGACTTTCCCAGAATTCACTGTACACTAAAAAAAGTGTTGCATGCCGAACTGTTGCAAACAAATTATTTGTGTTGAATTTAAACAAACAAATTAAGTTGAATAATGTAATTAATAGTGTAAATAACTTAATTTGTTTCTTTAAAATCAACTCAAATAAATTGTTTACAACCACTTAATGTAAAAAAAAATGAGTAAATCCAAGGAATCATCTTTGAATAATTTTTTTCAGTGTATGGCACATCACTTTTTATACTTTTTGTTGACATTACTATGGATCTTTGTAGTTGTTTCCCAATCAGTTATGTACATTAGAGATTTATGTTACATCTAATGTTGATAAACGATGTTTATTTTATGACTTTAATTTAATGCGTGTTACCATACTGGTGTTTAGTAGCTGTGTGAATGACACTGAACACCTTCTATATACTAATACACTTTTCTGCTTGTGGGAAAAGTTGATTGTGATGAGCTTTGGTTCATTATGTAACTTCTTCATCACCTCCTGCATATGGGTGTACTAAGGTGTCTAACTGTGTAACAAAATTTGTAGATGTTGGTCATTCAAAATAAAGACATATTATCTCTATAAAAAGATGAAATACGGTAGTTTACCATGAAAATGAGAAATTACATTTACGGTTTGTACCGTGTTTTTAACGGTAAAGTACAGGCAACCACAGCTGCTGTTTTTTTACCGTAAATTTTATCGATTTATTTTTACAGTGTGGGATCTTTCTTGAGTTATTGTTCTCCCTGCTGTTGAAAATACCCTCTTTGTGTTGTAAAATGCAAGTTGATAAGATAATGTTCATAATTTTTCATTAACGCAATCACATAAATGAGTTAACAGTGTTTTGGGAGTTACCTGTGTTTTAATACAGTTTTGGAGCATCTTGCAATGTAAAAATTAGCTGTTTTTAAAAGTAATTTCTTAAGCATAGTTTAATATTAGGCTATTCATATGCTATATTTGTAACAGGGCAGGGCTTGAAATGAACCTTTTTTCTTGTTAGCAACGGTGCTACTAAACGCACTCACCAAAAAATACCGGCACCGTTCAGTGTTTCCTCTAGGATTTTTTCCAGCTGTTGCACCAGGCTTATTTTATTTATTTATTTTTACACAGATCTACCAAATACCTGTGGCGTTATATCAATGACAAATGTCGTGAGCACAGTATTAGAAGTCGAGATCGCATTTATGTAATAACCTACATGTATGAGCATGTAAATCTCTGCTTGCGCGCTAATTTCCTCTGCTCGTGCACGAAACGTCTTGCATGCCACCTCAAATATAAGCCGCATCAAGAGCGCGCAGATCTTCTTGTGGGCTCTCGAACAAGCGCTGCTGAGTGCGATTAAGTACGTTAATGTAGCAAGTTTCACCAGGCTGGCTTCGGGCCTGTATGCACTCGCACAAATGCTCCCAAAAATGTTTTAAGGTCGCATAGATAAAATTTCGGGCCCTGCAGAGTATCCCCGAGGTCTTAAAACATATTAAAAAGTTGATAAATCAATTATGAGAAAATTAAGGCCCTTGAAAGGTATTAAAAAGTCTTAATTGCGTTTTTATGAGGTCTTAAACTTTGTTCAAGCATTGTTCAAAGTGTTTGACTCCAAAAACGCATATATTTATTTTCCTCCTAATATTAATAATGACATGCTTGATTCACACGATTGCAGTGATTGCTGCAGAACAATCCACTTTCATACAATGATTTGCCTAATTACCCTAGTTAAGCCTTTAAAAGTCACTTTAAGCTCAGTACTAGCATCTTGAAAAATATCTATTATGTACTGTCATCATGGCAAAGATAAAATAAATCAGTTATTAGAGATGAGTTATTAAAACTTATTATGTTTAGAAGTGTGTTGAAAGAATCTTCTCCGTTAAGCAGAAATTGAGGGAAAAAATATACAGGGGGGGGCTAAAAATTCTGACTAGGTAGTTTTTCCATCACTAAACTTTTAAAATATTGATTGAAGTCTCGACAATTAAGTTTACGAATGCTGCTATGATAAAATAAAAACAAAACAAGAAATGATTCCCCTAAGGGACAACCACTTTGAGTTTAAAAGGCTTTGGTTCAAACAACAGCTGTGTTTTCTGCTATTTCCAGTTCTTCTTTTCTTCCAAACCCTCTCATTTTCCCAAACACTGGCCTTTTCATTCTCTCCTGTCCGCCTGTCCTCGGCTCGATTTGGCCCTGGGCCTGTTTTCGTGGTTTACGGCTAAATGAGCAGTTTGTGGACGGTCACAATCCTCTTCCATTGTGAACAGACTTCTGGTCATTAAAGGATTCAATCTCTCTGTCTCTGGCGCTCAGGCTCAGGGGTCGGGTTGGCCTCCCAGCTGTCCTGAAATCAGCTCTGTAATGACTGTCCTGCATATGGTGCACAATCTCGTGTTGGCCAGACTGATGGCATCTGAGCTCCTCTGCTGTCACTCACGCACATGATCCCCTTACTGGCTCATTTATACATTAACACTTGTTAATAGGGCTGCACAATATAGATCGTTTCAGCATTGATAATGTGCGCATTCACAATAGCCAAAATATGCAATGTTGAGTCTTAGGAGCTACCGAATTGCTGTATTTGTATAGAATTTATACGATTTACTTGCTCTTTACTTTTGAACTTTTTTCCAAATTTTTTTGTCTTGTTTCTAGTCCAAATATTTACATTTAAATACAAAAATGAGATTACGATTATTGTATCCTCTAAACGATGGTTTGTTCAGTGGACAGTCGGGAAAAAAAAATAGCTTAACGGGGCTATTAATATTATCCTTAAAATGGTTTTTAAAAACTTTAAAATTGCTTTTATTCTAGCCGAAATAAATCAAATAAGACTTTCTCCAGAAGAAAAAATATTATCAGAAATACTGTGAAAATTTCCTTGCTCTGTTAAACATCATTTGGGAAATATTTAAACAAGAAATTCAAAGGGGGGCTAATACTTCTGACTTCATCTCTATATACAGTATATACTGATTTCACATTATTTTAGGTAAAATAACTCATTACTACAGTTTCTGAAAGTAAACAGCCATATTTTTTTACTGTTTAATAAAACCTCAGACATTTTATCAAGGTAAACAAACAAACAAAACAAAAACCTGAAAACAGCAAGAGCAATCAGGTAAAGAGATACACCTGAAGCAATGTGGAGGTACTGCTTTGCTCTCTTGTTGCTTTCTTAACAGTGTTTGCTTTTCTGGTCATATTTCAGCATCCATCCATGAAACGGTTACAGATTATATTGAACAGGAAAAGCAGCACGTCCACTCTGCTTGTTTTCGGAGATGTGCTTTGACATCTACCCACATTGTCTAATGTTCTGAAAAGTCTTCAATGAGGTGTACTAGTGCCAGCCCATACTATGGTAGTCAATTGGTTTAGGTTTTCAGCATTTTTCAAAATACCTTCTTTTGTGGTCAACTGAAGAAACTCAAACGTTTAAAATGAGTAATGTAATATAATGTGTATTTATATAGCGCATTTATTGTGTTTGGCCATACACCCAAAGCGCTTCTCACCACCACCAGTGTGCAGCATCCACTTGGATGATGCGACGGCAGCCACAGGACAACGGCGCCAGTGCGCTCAACACACACACCAGCTATTGGTGGAGTGGAGAGACAGTGATAGAGCCAGTTTGGTGTAAGGGGATGATTGGGAGGACATGATCGTAAGGGCCGATAGAAAGACTTTGGCCAGGACACCGGGGTTACACCCCTGCTCTTTCACGAGAAGTGCCATGGGATTTTTATTGACCACAGAGAGTCAAGACCTCGGTTTAACGTCTCATCAGAAAGACGGCGCCCACTGACAGTATAATGCCCCCTTCACTTTTACTGGGGCATTATGACTTACACAGACCACAGGTTGAGCGCCCCCTGCTGGCCTCACTAACACCACTTCCAACAGCAACCTAGTGTTCCCTAGTGGTCTCCCATCCAGGTACTGACCAGGCTCAGCCCTGCTTAGCTTCAGTGAGTAACCGGTCTTGGGCTGCAGGGTGATATGGCTGTGGCCCCAGTAAGTAAATGAGAACAGACTTTGAAATGTGGGGTGAACTATCCCTTTAATTTACCATTTTTTTCTCATGCATTAAAGTGCATTAATATTCTGTTACAATACAATAGTCTGTGTTTTCAATGCCTGCAGTAACCTTGAGTAACCCCGGCTCAAACTTGCCAATATTAATATGTCCGAGCGATGTTCATAAGCACAGCGGTGTTCACACTCCTCAGGAATGCTAAACATGATGAGCAAGAATTACGCAATTCTCCTTAAAGAACACAGCAGGATGTCCAGCTCCTCTCTCTCTCTCTCTCTCTCTCTCTCTCTCTCTCTCTATTTCTCTGCTGGACGGGACGGTCTGTGCACCAGATCTTTGTTCTGTCTCCCGGTACTGACCAGATGTCTATTCAGATGCCACTTGCCCTATTTGTAATGTGCTCATTATAGAATGCAAAAGAGCATGTGTTGATGAATTACTGAGCCGTGTTGTCTTTTGCGCTGCCGATGTTTTTTGCAGTTGTGATGCTTGTTGGATGTTTTCCGTTTGCGCTGTACCAGCTGTGTGATATTAAAGTGTCAGCCTTGCCAATAATCTGTGTTCTGTTTGTGTGTTTTCAGTTGGGGAATTTGTAAGCGACGTCCTGCTGGTGCCAGAGAAGTGTAAATTCTTCCATAAGGAGCGCATGGACATGTGTGTCAGTCATCAGCAGTGGCACGGCGTGGCCAAAGAGGTAAGATGTCATAGAATGGCACAGATAATTACATTGAAACTAATTAAGCAAAATTACTGAAAGTGCAATTCAAAGAATGGCCACTAGGACTGGCTCCAACACAGAGCACATTTCTATTGACGCCAATATTAAATTGACCAACTTTACAGCAACTAAATAAGGGCTCTGTTTTGACGATCCATGTGTAAAGTGCAAAGCACAGGGGAAAAACGCATTCAGAGCGTGTCAGAATCCACTTTTGCTAATATAAGGACAGAAAAATCTGATTTGCGCCGTGGTGCATGGTCTGAGTTTATTTTCTTAATGAGTTATAGGTGTGTTTTGAGAATAAACCAATCAGAGTCTCATCTCCCATTCCCTTTAAGAGCCAGTCGCGCCATAAGCGCATTTGCTATTTACATGATGTAAAGTAATACCTAGTTCAGACTGCGTGATTTTAGCCCCGATTTCGGCTCGCCGACAGGTTTTGAGAAATCGCTGACAAATGCCTGAAATCACAGGCAAATCGGTGCTCGTGCACGTGAGTGACAATCACACAGTATGAACTATTAATGACGCGATCTGAGAGAATCGCCGATGAGTCGCTGATGCCTGCGCGATATTTGGCATGCTAAATATCTGGAGCTGTCGGCGATTCAAATCATGCCGTGTGAATTGAGTTTTGACTGAAAATAACATCAGCGATCGCCTACAGCCAATGAGAGAGCGGCATTCACTTGCGTGTGCGTGTGTGTATACCTGCTGCAGGACAGCGGGAGGCTGGGGGAGAAGTTAAAAGCGATCTTTTTCGGTTTATTTGGACCCACGAAATGGAGGAAAGACTAGTGGAGGTTTGACAGGACTCAGGAGCAACCGTGTCTGTTTGACGTTTCATACAGAAAGAAATTAGTTTATTATCAACGTTGAGGAGAAATGGCTAATTCCCTTTAAACCCAGGTGAGCAAACATGTACATTTTCTACCCCATTAAAGGCTTCTCTCTCATTATGTAGTTAATAGCAAAAGATATGCTACGTGTTTTTGGCTGTGAGACGTAGTTTGGACGAAGTTGTCTGTAATTCTTCCTATAGTTAAGTCATGCAATGTGAAAGTCCTTGTCGCCGATCCATCTTGCAGTGTAAACAAAGCAGCGACGAAACGCTAGCCCAGACAGTCATGCAGTGTGAAAACATCTGTGACACGACTACTTTGAAAATCATGCAGTTTAAACTCGGCATAAGTGTAAGTGGAAAAACGAAGCATTTCACTAGCAAGAAAACAGTTAAACAGAGCATCTGCAGCGCGAGAATGTGAGATAAGCCTCCTCATTAACTCATAACTTTCACTTTCACTCTTTGTGCGCACCTTGTACGCACAGACATCAATTAGCCTATAAATAGTTAATTTTGTTTGTTAAGCGCAAAGATTTGTTTCAAAACTCAGTTCTAATTTCCAGCAAATAAATAAATGAACAATAATAATGAAGTGTGCTCAAAAACCTGAGTTATATCCTAATACCTAAACCTCACAAGGTGAAGAAGGGATGAAGGCTGTGGTTTTTATATTTATGTAGGCTAGAAAATAATGTTTTGTAATATTTTAATCCTTTATATTTATATCCTATATATATCCTTATTATATCCTAAATATATCCTTAATATTTTAATTCTTTTTCATTTGTAAAGATATTTGCGTATTGCTGTACATCCTGTGTGTATTAAACAATTTGTAAGCCAGGCGCACAACTAACGTGCTCTGCGCGGAACAATAGACCGGCTTTGTTCTGGTCTATAGAACAGCCTATTATAGGTCCTCAAAATAATTCCACGCCTCCTTTTTTAGAGCAGAACGCCTATGGGTGCACATATGAGCGCAAAAGCAGTTGCTATTTAAACAGCGTGCTGCAAAACATTAAAGCGACTTTTGCGCCAAGCTGAAACTAGCAAACAACAATTGTTTCGCGCCTTGCACCGCATAGCGTCAGGTATATGATAGGGCCCAGAATGACAGTCATTATAGGCATGGATAAAATCTCATTCACATGCATGACGTGTCAAGCCTTGATAATGATTATAACGGTTTCACGACAGTCTTATGAACACCCCTTCAAGTAGTGTTACCATGTAACCTATATCTTAAGACAAATGACTGGATTCTGTGATTCCACTTGCGTTCTTCCGCATTGCAGAACTTCTAAGACCCTACAGAACACCTAAACTGCTGCAATTTTCTTCCACATCTGCACCGTGTCCGTTCTTCATTGAAAGTGATGGATTTCCAGTGTAGACTGGAGTGCTGCTCTTCTTCTCTCTCTTCCTTTCCTGTTTCATGCTTGAGTCTTCACATTTCACCCTGATAATTGGATAAGCCGTACTGCTGTAATGCTGCTAATCTCTAGACCTCTACCACACACACACCTGTACTGCTCACTTTACACTCTCATATCACGAATACACACTGCCTCTCTCTTTCTTTCTCGTTTTATTAACCGCACTTGCAGTTTTCCCTGCCATCTGTGCTGTATTTTCTCATTTGTTGTGCTGGTGTATTTAAACTCCTCCAACCTGACTGAGAATAATTCGTTCAGATTGAGCTGTAGAGGATGAAAACCGCATTCGTTTGCAGCTTGAATTCCTGAGGTTATCAGACTTGGCGTGTTAGAGATAAAAGGCCGACTCTTGGTTTCCTCAGCTTACTCTGGTTTAAAACTAGGTGTTTTTGATGATGTGTAGTTAAAGTTAAAAATCATTCTTTGAGTTATTAGTAGGGCCAGACAGAATTTGCGGATATTTTTTGGTATTTCTGCACAGTTTCGTCTAAAAAAATGAGAATTTTTCCAGAATGATTTTTGTCTTAATTTTAATATATTACATAAAAATAATATCTTTTTAACATTTATTTGATGTTCACAATGCAACTCCAGTTATGTCCACATACATTTACTGGCCACTTTATTAGGTACACTTTACTAGTATCAGGTTGGACCCCCTTTTGCCTACAGAACTGCCTTAATCCTTCGTGGCATAGATTCAACAAGGTACTGGAAATATTCCTCTGAGAGTTTGGTCCATATTGACATGATAGCATCATGCAGTTGCTGCAGATTTGTCAGCTGCACATCCATGATGCGAATCTCCCGTTCCACCACATCCCAAAGGTGCTCTATTAGATTGAGATCTGGTGACAGTGGAGGCCATTTGAGTACAGTGAACTCATTGTCGTGTTCAAGATGCCAAATTCTGACCCTATTATCTGAATGTCGCAGCAGAAATTGAGACTCATCAGACCAGGCAACGTTTTTCTTCTTTCTTACCGTCCCTATCCCTACTCTCTCTCTTACTTTGCTTCCTGTCTGAAATACTGTCCTATCCACTTAATAAAAGGCCAGAATTAAATCTTAAAATAAATAAATAAATAATAAAATTCAGTCCCACACAGATCTCTACTCTGGATAACTTAAAACAGCGACCACTAGTCTCTCCTTCATCTTTAAAAGTCATTGTAGTTAACATAAACACTTCTGTCGCCTCAATAGAAACCCCGCCTCTGCTTTCATTTGATTGGAGAATGATTGGATTACTGGCGTAACACGCTTTTTCCATTCAGTTTACATTGTTCCAATTGCGATCACACAGAGCGCAACGGCGAAAACGCAGGGCGCAGCAGACAGTTAAAACTGGAGGCGCATAGGGTGCACACAGTAAGCAACCCGTAAAATGCTCATCGCCTTTAGTAAACCAATCAAAAGATGCGCCTATCAACACAAAAAGCGCATTCGATGTGATTGGTCCCTTAGTCTAGTTTTCCTTTCCTAAAATGACCTGAGTTTACAGTATGCTTGCTGTGAAGTCAGTGTGGAGATCCGAATTGACAACCGTAAATGTACAGTCAGATTTATCAGCCCTCCTTTATATAATTTTTTCAAATTTCTGTTTAATGGAAAGAAGATTTTTGCAACACATTTGTAAACATAATAGTTTTATTAACTCATTTCTAATAACTGATTTAATTTATCTTTGCCATGATGACAGTAAATAATATTTGACTAGATATTTTTTCAAGACACTTCTAAACAGATTAAAGTGATATTTTAGGTTAATCAGGTTAAGTTATGGTAATTAGGCAAGACATTGTATAACAGCAGGATTCAATGCTAAGGACATTTTCTACTGGCCTGACTGGACCAGCGGTTCAGATTTTTACTCGCCCTGCCAAAATTTTCACTGGGGTAAGTAAGTAAGTAAGTAAGTAAGTAAGTAAGTAAGTAAGTAAGTAAGTCAGTAAGTCAGTAAGTCAGTAAGTCAGTAAGTCAGTAAGTCAGTAAGTCAGTAAGTCAGTCAGTCAGTCAGTCAGTCAGTCAGTCAGTCAGTCAGTCAGTCAGTCTGTCTGTCTGTCTGTCTGTCTGTCTGTCTGTCTGTCTGTCTGTCTGTCTGTCTGTCTGTCTGTCTCAGTCAGTCAGTCAGTCAGTCAGTCAGTCAGTCAGTCAGTCAGTCAGTCAGTCAGTCAGTCAGTCAGTCAGTCCAAACAAACTATATCTTAGTCACATATTTTAAATAATGTCAAATATAATGTCTTTGAATCTAGAATTTAAATATTTTTAAATTGTTAAAATATTTAGCAGTAAAATACAGCAATATGGAAAATGTGCAGGTTTTTTTTTATTGCAAAACAAAAGGTGGCGGATTTAGAAGTGGCGGAAAACTATGCAAAATAATTTTTACGTTGTGTTGTACCCATGTAAAGACGTTTTCTTTTAGCCTCATCATTTGATGTTGCCGTCTCTTCATTGTACTGGTTTTACTAGGTTGTGGAAAAAAATAACGCGCTCACAACATCCAATCAGATAAAAGGAACCAAAAAGCAATATGGTGTTTATGACTTCACAGAAAAGGTAGCATTTAAAGACTTAAAAGCACAAATTGTTTCTCGATTCTAAGAATTTATTTGCATGCAATTGACACAGTCGCAGGCAAATTCAAATTTTGTAACAAAGAGGCACTGGCCTTATCGGGCTAGTAACGATTCTTTCTACTATCCCGAACATCTCTCACGCTGGCCCTGGGCCATCAGGCAGTCCTTATTGTTGAGCCCTGTACAGTGGTTTGTTCTGTAGACAATCAGAAAAAAAATATTGCTTAATAATTTTGACCTTAAAATGGTAAAAAAACTAAAATCAAAAACTGCTTTTATTCTAGCCAAAATAAAACAAATCAGACTTTCTCCAGAAGAAAATCTATTATAGGAAATACTGAAAAAAATACTTGCTCTGTAATCAGCATTTGGGACATATTTTAAAAAAGAAACGAAATCTAATATTTGTGACTTCAACTGTATCTGCAGTGTGTACGGTGTGTGTTTATACAGTAAATCACCTGAAGCAGCTGTCCTTCATTCCCAGCGTGTGTGTGTGTGTGTGTGTGTGTGTGTGTGTGTGTGTGTGTGTGTGTGTGTGCGCATAAACTGAAAGCCTCACGGTGCGCTGACTCTGCTGTCCCGGGACAGACGTTTAAGAGCTCTGCTGAATTTCTGGAGGCTGTTCCTGCACAGCAGAGCGGCCTTTCAAAGCACATTTGCTCTAATTGAATGGGATTTCTCCCTCTCTATAGGCCTGCTCCAAGGGAAACATGGTCCTGCACAGTTATGGCATGCTGCTGCCCTGTGGCATCGATAAGTTCCACGGCACTGAATACGTCTGCTGCCCGTCCACGCGTCCCGAAGAGCCCGCACCTCCAGCGTCACCTTCTAAAGAGATGGATGATGAAGATGATGATGATGAGGAGGAGGAGGATGTGGAGGAGCCTGTGGTTGAGGAGGACGAGGAAGATGATGAGGACGCTGTAGATGAGAGGTAATGTCATGCCATATTTATTATCATTTGTTTTTAATTAAGGCTTTTCTGCTCACCAAGCCTACACTTAATAAAATACTGTAATAGCAGGAATCGTATGAACTAATAGTAATACTACTGGCTTGTTGAATGCTTTTTCCATCTAAATCTACCCAATCATTACGCCCAACAATCCATCTCAAAAAATGTTAAACAAAAGTTCCATTTGTTCACTCTTTTTTACCAATATGGCTAAATTATCTTCCTTACATTTTACAATAACATTTGTTTAAAAATTCTCCATGCGTTCATACATAAATGCATGTTGTGCATCAGTTTAGCTTATTATAGTTTTTAAAAATGTCTTTTTTTTCCCCTTTTTTATTTTTAATTTTTAATTTTTATTATTTTAACAATTTAATATAACTAGAGTTTGCTTGTTTTGACACATTTTTTAAAATACGTGGCCCAGAAAAACCTTAATTTAAATTTTAATGGGGCAAGTAAAAATCTGTTCCTCTGGCTATCAGAAAAAAAAACCTTGTTTGTTTGTGTGTTTGTGCGGTGTGAATCGGCCTCAAGGTGTGCAGTTATTTTCAGATAAACAGCTAAACTAGTTCCAGGCAGGTCTTGATGGAATTAGGATGTGTCGCTGTGAGCTCCAGAGGTCGCAGGTCAGTAGGTCATGTGCACAAATTCGGCCACTGGTAAGGACAGGAAGGACTTTGGTTCACTGCACATTGGGACATTGATGATGACATGAGAACGACTTTGTTGTTAAACATCAAAACTGATTTTTATCGCATAATAACTTTCAAAAGTTTTTTATGTAAAATATAAATAATTTTTGTATTTTATTCTGTGATTTTACCTATCAATCAATTAATTATAGATGTTTGCTAGATTGTTCTATACTTATGTTTATGTGGGAATTAAAATAAATTGTTTTTATTTTTTTAAAGAAATGAGTTTCTTTAAGAAGTCTCATTTGACTTTGTTTGGTGAGTTTGTTCAGATTATTCATGTTTCGCATTTCTGAATTTCTGATAAATTTTGTAAACTGGAAGTTGCTTCAGTTGCTTTATATCAGCATAATGACTTTAATACAACTACTGAACTTAAGTAGGGGGTGGGGTTTTATTTTGCTCTCCAATCTTTCACTTGCAGCCAATTAACAATCTGCGGTGCGTGGCTTAGCATATTTCACCCAATACATCAAACTGATGTCATCAGAGGAGTGTCGTTTTACAGCAAAATTATTTTTTTAATTTATGCTAAAAATTATGCGAATTTTAAGTAAAGATCATTTTCCATTAAGATAGTTTGTAAATATCTTTCTGCCAAAATGTCATTTTTTAAGGTGATTTTCACAATATTTAGAGTTATTTTGTACCTTTACATTCTAGAAATTTGAATGGTTGTGTATCGGCCAAATATTGTTCAATCCTAACAAGTCAGTCATCATAAATCAACCAAATACTTATTTATTCAACTTTTATATAGTTTAAAAATCTAATTTTGCAAACATTGACACTCATGACTGGGTTTGTGGACCCAAGGTAATCTTTTGTAACATTAGCACTGTATTTATTAGTTCAATGCATTCTTGTTGACTAATAATTTCCTTCAGAACATCATAATTTTTAATATTTATTTATTTATTTATTTATAACTTATCCAGCCTGTTTTATGCAGCGGATGCCTTTCCAGCTGCAACCCATCACTGGGAAACATCCATACACACTCGTACACACATACACTACGGACAATTTAGTCTACCCAATTCACCTGTACTGTATCGTCACCTTGGAATTATTAGGTTCTATCTGCGTTCTAAATGATTTTGAGATATTGAGCTTCAAAGCTTTTCCCTTCCATAGCAAACAGTATGTGTGAAACATTTATTTTTTTAAATAAAAAGTCTTAAAATATTAACAACTGATAAAAAAAAATCCCATAATGTAAATAAGTTGTCATTTAGTAAAAATATGTCAATAACTCAATTTTGACAAAAATGTCAGATAGAACCTTAGAATTCTAAGGTGACAATATGTCTTTGGACTTAAAAAATTCCCAGAATTTCACAACATATTACTGTAATTTTTCTCAGTAAATTACATTAGTGTCACTTTACAGGATTTACCTGTTAAATCTTACATATTCAGAATTATAAAATTAAGACAGAGATCATGATTACAGCAAAATTACTGTAAAAATGGCTATTTTTACACATTAGTTATAGGAATACAAACACTATTAATATTTTTTTCAACATAGAAATTAATGCATATTAACTTTTATGCTAGTACAGGCTATTTGTTGATAATAATAAAAAAAAAAAAAATATATATATATATATATATATATATATATATATATATATATATATTGCTATTATGATGTACCTCAAACTAATTACTACTTTGAAAGTAATGCAATTATTAGCCAGTAATTTACTCTGAATTTAGGGTTACATTTTTTTACAGTGTGGGGGAAACCGGAGCACCCGTAGGAAACCCACACCAACACGGGAAGAACATGCAAACTCCACACAGAAACGTCAACCAGGGCTCAAACCAGTGACCGCCTTGCTGTGAGGTCATTGTGCTACCCACTGCAGCACCGTGCTGCCCCCACAAACAATCATATCAGTGTAACAAGACTATCCTAAAATAACAAAAACAAAAAAAAGCTAATATGACTCTGGATTTTCAAAGTTAATAGTATTTAGCACTTTACTCCCAACTCTGAATATATTTATGCATTTCTGATTCTGTTTTTATTAATAGTGATGCTTCTTTCATCATCAAATCAGCAGTAAACAAGCTCCTAGGCGTGGAGGTTTATCTTCAAATAAATCATGCATAGTGATTTAAAAAAATTGTTCGTCTCACGAGTCATAACATTTATTTAGTCAATTATTTACTCATCTAGATTTCTGGAGGCAGCACTGAAAAAAACGCCTCTGGCAGGCTTCTTAAAGGATGATCTATTAGTATGACTGTGAGCTGTCGTATCTCATCACACTTTGACGAGTGATAGCTGAAAAATTGATTGTACAAGTGTGTGAGCAAAATTAGGTTGACCATCTGGATATTTTCGAGTGCCATGCCTTTGACCTCTGACAGCTGCTTCATTCACTTCCATAAATCATAAAGTCCTCCAACCTGTTCTCCTCCCTTCCCTCTGTTTCCTGTGCTGTCCTTCCCTCACATCCTACTGTCTTTCCTTTGTCATCTCTCTGTGGCTTTTTTGTACACAACAATCCAGTTTTGTTTCCTTGTTTCTTGAATGTTTGTGAGTAGCTAAGGATGAGTTAATGATAATGTGTCCTTCAAGTCATGACATAAAGCTACATTCACAGGTCATGCTGGTTCCGTTTAACTTAATCTAATGTGGTAATTCATTTTTTTTAACATACACTACCTGACAAAATCTTGTTGCTGATCTCAGTTGTAGAGCAACAAATAATAACTTGACGTCTAGTTGATCATTTGGAAAAATGGCAGCAGGTAGATTTTTCAGATGAATCATCTGTTGAACTGCATCCCTATAATCACAAATACTGCAGAAGACCTACCGGAACCCGCATAGACCCAAGATTCTCAGAGAAGTCAGTCAAGTTTGGTGAAGGAAAAAATCTTGGTTTGGGGTTACATTCAGTATTGGGGCTTGCGAGAGATCTGCAGTGGATGGTAACTTCATCCTCTATTTGAAAGTTCCTGAAAGCAAAGGAGATCAAGGTGCTGCAGGATTGGCCAGCCCAGTCACCAGACATAACCATTATTGAGCATGTCTGAGGTAAGACGGAGGAGGCATTGAAGATGAATCTAAAGAATCTTTCCTGCAAGAACGCTTTCTTTGCCATTCCAGATGACTTTATTAATAAGTGATTTGATTCATTGCAGAGATGTATGGATGCAGTCCTCCAAGCTCATGATGGGGTCAGACACAATATTCATTCTTTTTCCACAGCAGCATGACTTTATATTCTATACTGGACATTATTTCTGTTAAATGACAATACTTTTGTCTAAACAGAGTCAGACTTTACTGTCCTAATTAAATCATTAAAAATCAAGGCTTGATCATATTTTATTTTGCTAAAATCAGCGTAATCTAGAGGCCTTTGCCTTTCATATGAGCCACTTTTGAAACCAAATGATCAACTAGAAGTCAAGTTATTATTTGTTGTTCCTAAAACTTTTTGTCAGGTAGTGTAAATGAACTAACACGTAATTAAGGTAGCCACTATTCACACTTAAACTCATGTGAATGATGTTGTGGTTAATGCTAGCTCTCGATTAGCACATACCTTAACTCGTCATTATTTCATAATGAAGTAGGGTTTACTTTACATATTAGTACATCATTATTCACATACTCTTACATGGTCACCCACTAAAGCTTTTATTTATTTATTTATTAATTTATAATTTGTTACTTATTTATTTTATAAGTAAAAGTAATAAGTAATATATATATAACTTAATAAAAATAATAATAAAAAAATCACCTACTGAAGCTAAGCAGGGCTGCGCCTGGTTAGTATCTGGATGGGTGACCACATGTGAAAGCTAGGTTGCTGCCGGAATTGGTGTTAGTGAGACCAGCAGGGGGCGCTCAACCTACAGTCTAATGCAGGGGTCTCAAACTCAATTTACCTGGGGGCCGCAGGAGGCAAAGTCTGGGTGAGGCTGGGCCGCATAAGGGATTTCACAAAAAAAAAAAAGTCCTCAAATGTCATTATTAACAGTTTTAATTATTTCTTCTGAACATGAAGTTTCCTGAACATTAATAGAACATTGAGTGAAGATTATGAACAGTTCTTCTGAACATGGCATCTTTTGCCTACTCCTTGCTGCCAGAGACTTGACAGCGCTTCTTCTCACAAATCTGAACCACATTTGGCTTTAGAGCGGAAGCAGTTGAGACCCTCAGTATGGCTTGAAGATGATCATCATTAAGTCTAGACCTGTACTTTGACTTAATGAAGTCCTAGGGAAAAAAGTGGGGGAACTCACTCAAAACTTCCATTCCCTCACCTAAAAAAAGGCGTATATATGTATAAATAAAACATGGGGGTGTTTTATTCCAGTCATAACCACTCCAGTCACATCAGTCTGTACCCGTCTGTATCTACCTATAATATCAATATATATAAGATGCAGGGCAGGCACGTGCACACATAGGGCTCAACCTGTGCAGAGCACATGCCCTTTTTAGTCTTGCATAGAAAGTGCCCTTCCAAAATGATCAAAAGTGCCCCCGCGACGCGACACACCCTCGGTCCCGCCCTTCAGTAGGCGCGCGATAACACCGCTCTTGAGTACGCGCGCGACAACACAGCTGATGAGTACGCGCGCGACAACACAGCTGATCAGAACGCGCGCGACAACGCGCATTGAGTGACAAGCGCGCTGTGTAATTACGGATAGAATCAGCGGAGTGGGGAGCACTCTCTCTCCCCGCTCCGCTGATTCTGTCAGAGTACAGCGGTCGGCGCGGGCCACAAAATATTGCACTGAGGGCCGCAAATGGCCCGCGGGCCGCGAGTTTGAGACGCCTGGTCTAATGCCTCAGTATAGTGATGGTGACTCTGTACTGCTCAGTGAGCGCCATCTTTTCGATAAGACATTAAACCAAGGTCTTGACTCTCAGTGGCTGTTAAAAATCCCAGGATGCCCTTTGAAAAAGAGTAGGGGCCAAATCTGTCCACTGGCTTCTGTCTATCATGGCCTCCTAACCATCCCCATATCATAATTGGCTTCATCACTCTGTCTCCTCTCCATTAATCAGCTGGTGTGTAGTGTGCTGTCTGGTGTCCTGGGGCAGGGGCATGTCAGATGCTAGAGGGCATTTGATTGGTCAAGATTTAATGAGTAACTGAAGTATGAGATGAGTTTGAAAAAAAATCGGTCCATTTAGGAGGAAGTGGGAAACTGGATGCTTTTGATGTATATATTCAATTCAGTTGAATTCATCTTGACTTCAATAGCGCTTTTACAAATTTGATTAGTCAAAGCACCTTAACATAGAAGATTATAGTAAATTGAAACCGTGTCAGTTTAGTTTTTAGTATCGAAGTTCAGTTTAGTTCAGTTCAGTGTGGTTTCATTTTCACTGCTGAGAGTCCAAACACTGAAGAGCAAATCCATTGATGTGCAGCTCCTCAAGTCCTAAACTAAGCAAGCCAGTGGGGATAAACCAGTGGCAAACACTGTTGAACAAAACTTCACCAATTGACGAAAGTGAAGGAAAAAAAAAAACCTTGAGAGAAATCAGGCTCAGTTGGGCATGACCATTTCTCCTCTGCCCAAACTTCCTGTGCAGAGCTGTAGTCTAGGCACCGAAGGCTGGAGAACGCTGGACGTCCATCGAGGAGAAGCTGCAGGTGTGAGTAGGTCACCGGCGGGTGTACAGGCTCAATACGGAGACTCATCCGTTTCTGGGTCTTTCAGGAACCAGTCTTATGCTCTTTACTCCTCCAAGACTGCCACAGCATCTGCTCAGAATACGGCCTGGTCTAGGATTATAGAGACCTCAGGATAATAAAACCAGACTAAAATAAGCATCGATATATACGTTTATTTTTTTCTAAATTTGAATTTTAACACTGTTTTGAAGCACATTAGTTTATATATATCCTTAAAACTAACAGACTGAAACTGAAATCTACATTTTTTATTTGTTTAACAGCTTCCCTTTAAAAAGGCAGATAGACCCAAAAACATCACTATCACGTGAAATGTAAAAAATGTTTTCTTTTATCTTAGTGAGCCTGTTGCCATCGATCCTCCCACTCAGGAAGACACAGCAGAGGAAGAGGAGGAGCAGGAGGAGGATGGAGATGAAGAGGACTATCACTACATCTACGAGGATGAGGAGGAGGACAGAGACAGCGAGGAGAAGGATGTTAAGAAAGAGAAAGCTGTCATGCCGGAGAAACAGGACGATGACAAAACTCTGCAGGAAGTAGAAGGTCAGTCTCACGCTGTTTCCTTCATTTATTGCCTTACTGCCACAGTGAGTTCAATTACAGCAGCTCGTTTGCTTCAGATCTTTGCTCCTGTTCACCATAAGGTTATTGACTTTTTTTTTTAAAGTAAGACTTTGTTTTGTTGTATAGGAATGTTTATGGGTCAAAGATGAGACGTGTTATTCTAGCATCAAAAATGTAGAATTAAATTTTTTCTGTTTTTAATGTTGTATTCTGTGCAGAAATTAGGCTACTTTTTACCATGATTTACAGAAGATGTCCATTTTAATGTAATTTAGGGTAACATTAGTTTAAATAATATATATTAAGGTATTAGCTGTGATTCAAATATAAAAAATGTTAAAGACTCTAAAGGTCAGAGTGCAGCAACCAAATACTGATTTAAATTAATTTAAATCTTTATACTTTGTCATTGTCTTTCAACCCATTTGGGTTTAAATGTTGTTAATCTTTTAAAATATAATCCAATCCGTTGGAGCTCTAATGTTGTTTTATTTCCAAATTTATTTCCAAATTCATGAATATGCACTCAACGGCCACTTTATTAGGTACACCCGTCCCAATGCTCAATAATCCTCATTTCTGATCAGCTTATCACATGGCAGCAACTCAATGCATTTAGGCATGTAGACGTGGTCAAGACGATCTGCTGCAGTTCAAACCAAGCGTTAGAATGAGGAAGAAAGGTGACTTTGAACGTGGCATGGTTGTTGGTGCAAGACGGGCTGGTCTGTATTTCAGAAACTGCTGATGTACTGGGATTTTCACGCACAACCATCTCTAGGGTTTACAGAGAATGGTCTGAAAATAAGAAAATATCCAGTGAGCGGCAGTTCTGTGGCCGCAAATGCCTTGTTGATGTCAGAGGAGAATGGCCAGACTGGTTCCAGCTGATAGAAAGACAACAGTAACTCAAATAACCACTCGATACAACAGAGGTCTGCAGAAGTGCATCTCTGAACACACAACACGTCCAACCTTGAGGTACCACTCCTGCAAAATAGGATAATAGAAGATTATAAAAACTTTGCCTGGTTTGATGAGTCTCGATTTCTTCTGCGACATTCGGATGGTAGAGTCAGAATTTGACATCAACAACATGAAAGCATGAATCCAACCCGGTACTAGGAAGGTGTAGCTAATAAAGTGGCCGGTGATGTATATTATGCTAATGACGATTAAACATTTTCACTCATATTTTGACATTTTATTGTTATAAAAAACTCAACAGAGTGGAAGCATTTAATGTTTTTGATGTATAAAAATCACTATTGTTTTATCTTTGACCCATATGTGTCCTATATAGTGCAACAGTTGGGTTCCAGGAGAATAAAGAAACTAAATAGTTTTCTCCATAGATGAATACAGTGGGGAAATTAAGTATTGAACACATCACCATTTTTCTCAGAAAACATACTTCTAATGGTGCATAACAGAAATTTGACCGGATGTTAAAAACCAAGGATATCCATATATGCGAAGAAAACAATATTAATTAGTTTACAAATGAAGTTATGCGTAATAATAATAAAAATAATTGAAATGAAACTGGGAAAAAGTATTGAACACATGAAGAAAGGGATGTGTAGAAAGACAGTAAAAGCCCAGACAGCAGCGGAAGCCTCTACTTAGTTCTTCAGCAACCCTCTGCCCTTCAACATTGTAAATGAATATCAGTTGCTTCAGTTCAACATTTACAATAGCAGGAAGATAAAGATGAAACCAGGGTGGACATTTCAGCAAGACATTGATCCAAAACACAGCCAAGGAAACTCTCAAATGCTTTCAGAGAAAGAAAATCAAGCTGTCTCGTCTATTAAATCTGATCTTTATTTTGTATTCTCTATTGGATTTAAGTCAAGTGATTGGCTGGAAACATCAAGATTTTTACACTCTGTTGAAGTCTGTGAATAAAAGACCTGAGACTTCATTCTCCATATGATTTTCATGATATGATATGCATCTTCAAGCTACCAGGAAAAAATATATGACGTGTTCAATACTTATTTCCCCCACTGTATAATTGTTAGATATAGCATGGAAACCAAAAATGAATAAGAAGTCATTAGATTTTAGCGATTTTGCTAAAGCCACAAAGTGTTAAATTTAATCTATAAAAAAAAAACAGCAACAGAAGCTTAGTTTATTATAAAGGAAGTATTTCTGGGTAGCTGTAAGTTAATTCGACTATTTGGAGCATTAAGATATGCTTTATTTACTCGAGTAAAATATCAAATGCAACTATAAAGTTATAAATTGCACCACAAGTGTAACAATACTGACAGTGAGAAACAATACCATTACAAGCAATTTCAGAAGTACACAAGATTGTAAATTTCTCAAGTGTTTAAAGGGGACCTATTATACCCTTTTTTACAAGATGTAAAATACGTCACTGATGTCCCTATAGTTGTGTGTGTGACGTTTCAGCTCAAAATTCCCTACAAATAATGTTTTTAACTGTTTGAAACTGCCCCTTTTAGGCTTTGATTCTAATTGTGCCGTTTTGGTGACCGTAGCTTTAAATGCAAATGAGATTGTGCTCTTTTTTTTTAAAAGAGGGTGGAGCTACAAATGCCTGTGTGTCAGCATAATACAGATTCAAAAACAAGATTAAAGTACTAGTGAGGAAGTGATTGTCACAAATAGGCGGGGCTAATGGGTTAGAAATAAAATTGACAATGTTTTTGCTAGCGCACATTCTTAAGCTGCGGTCACACTAGAGTTTGATAATGCGAAATTCTGTCATGGGGCGCTGCGAAAAGGGGCGGGAATAAACAAGATTATTAGGCATTTAAAAAAGCAAGCGATTGCTTCATATTTTAAATTTCTGTCCAGAGAGGTCATGTTTTGATCCTCGGTTGGTCTCACGCAGTCAAGTAATGCAATTTCGGCAGCAGCAACCTGCGAAACTTAACACTCAACCCTGCGTTTCCCGTCAGACGCATTTGCGTGCGTATGAATAGAAGTCTATGGGGAGAAAAGCCCAGTTTGACAGCAGCTTTATTATTTAGGTGTACAATTAATCAGTGCAAATTAATCCACTGATTAAAATAATTTATGCAATCTTCAGTCAAAATCTGACTATTTGCGGTCCTTTTCTGTTGACGTCAGTTTTTACGCTTCAAACACAATATTTTTAACCACGTTCCTTTTAACATTAGTTTGCTATGAGGGAATGATATAAAAAAATAAAGCCCCGCCCCCTACTTAATATTTAATTTCAGTTGGAAGTCGTTAAAATACAGAAATAGTCTCAGCAGCTTCCGGTTATGCAGACTTTCATATTTTTTGTAACAAAGATCTTCAAGTTTAATATCTATGGAGAAAGTGTTTACAAAAACTTCTGCACCCAGAGTGTCTGTTGCGCTATATATTAGAAGGTATTGGTGCCCCGTGTGGCTGGAGGCTCTAACTGCGCCTCCTCCTGTGTTAGCTGTGTGTTCTCTGGAGGCGGAGACCGGCCCCTGCCGCGCCTCTATGCCTCGCTGGCACTTCGACATGCAGCAGAGGAAGTGTGTGCGCTTCATCTACGGAGGCTGCGCCGGCAACCGCAACAATTTCGACTCAGAGGAGTACTGCATGGTCGTGTGCAAGCGCCTGAGTAAGTCACACTCGCTACTGAAGACTCCGCCCCTTCTGCTCCGCCTTCCTCTGCTCCGTCCTTTTTTGCTCCGCCTTCCTCTGCTCTGCCCTCTTATGCTCTGCCTCCTTCTGCTCTGTCACAGTGCTAACTCTGTTCCAGCCTATATTTGACATTTATAACAACCTTGCTTTTAAAGCTGTATTAAGTGCAACCTTGGGTGAAACTTTTGTGATTTGTAATGCAGTTTTTTTTCTTTACAGCCATACAATAAACTTGATTTAATAATTGTTTGAGGACAATTATTTTAATTTATTTCAAATAACTGATTCTCTTAATTAATAACAATACTAATAATACTTATTATTTTATTGCTATTATTACATATTTAACTCGTATTTAATTATTAATTGTTGTATAATTACATGTAAATTAGAATAAATATTTAATAGCAATAGTAATAATAATAATAATAATAATAAAGATAACGGCTTCTACTACTATTATTAATTATTAATAATATTATTTATTTTATTTATAATAATAATAATAATAGTAGTAGTAGTAGTAATAATAATAATAATAATAATAATAATAATAATAATAATAATAATTATTATTATTATTATTATTATTATTATTATTATTATTATTATTAAATTTACTTCAAATAACTGATTCACTTGGTTAATAACTCCTAAAAAATTAATTCTAATAATAATTGTTATTTTATTTTTATTATTACATGTATTTCATCTTTAACTCATATTTAATGACTTAAAATAGATAAATAATTGCAAGTTAGAGTAAATGTATGATAATAATAATCATAACTGCTACTACTACTATTTTTTATTATTAGTATTATTTAATTTGCTTCAAATAACTGATTTACTAGATTAATAACAATACTAATAATTGATTTTTTATTAATATCATTACAAGTATTTCATATTTACCTCATATTTAATTACTTAATCATTTATAAATAATTCTATGTAATTTAGAATAAATGTTTAATAATAATAATACTGATAAAGATTAGGGCGACTACTGCTATTTATTATTATTATTATTATTTAAACTTCAAATAACTGATTCATTTGATTAATATCAAAACTAAAAATATTTGCTATTTTTATTACTATTATTGCTTCCATTTCATATTTAACATATTTAATTACTATATAATAATTAAATAATGACATGTAATTTAAATTTTTTTTATTTGATTAATAATAGCAATAATAAAGCTAACTGGACTAGATCACTAGACTAAATTAATAATAATAATAATAATAATAATAATAATAATAATAATAAATAATGTTTATTTAGTTATTATTATTATTATTATTATTATTATTACTTATTAATACTACTAGTATTATTATTCATATGGTAATAATACTCATTATTATTATTATTATTATTATTATTATTTATTTTATTACTAAAGCAAGAAGTCTATTACATGTATTTCATATTTAACTCGTACATAATTACTTGATAAATAATAATTTGATGTAAATTAAATAAATGTTCATTAATAATAATGATGATAATAGTTAATTGCTACTACCAACTATTATTAAATAATAACATTTATTATTATTATTATAATTACAAGTTAATTAATTATTATAATTAACTAATAATTAACTTAATTACTTATTAAATTAAGAGTTATTTTTATTAATATTATTTAAAGCGAAAATATTATTACATGCATTCGTAAATAATTACATGTAAATAAAAATAAATGTTCTTTCATAATAACAATTAAAACAATAATAATAAAGATAACTGCTACTACTAGCAGTGTTATTGTTGTTATTCTTAATTTATTTTATGATAATAATAATTATTATTAGTAGTAGTAGGTGTATGTTATATATTATTATTATTATTAATATTATTATTTATTTATTAGTATTAATGCTTTTATTGTTGTTGTTATTATTATTATTGATTATTACTTATTATTATTATTATTTTAATTATTCTTATTGATTATTACGTCGTCTTTTTCTTCTTCTTATTATTAGTATTTTTATATATTATTATTATTTAAGGCAAGAAGTCACCCGAGGTTGTGTTGATATTACTTGCAAAGCGCTCCATTTTATTTCTCTACTCTTCTAATGTTTAGTGTTTTTTGTTCTAATACTCCAGTCATCCCATGTTTTTGTGGCATTTGGGAATCATAGGATTAATATGATGTTTCTTGTCACATTAACCTTCATGATTCGAGGTTTCTCCTCCGCTTTTATCAGCGTAGGCTGTTTGTTCTTATGAAAATGCCCTTTGTGCACAGCCTCGTGGGTAATCAAGTCGCTCTTGTCATCCATACACTAAAGAAAGCTGATTTTTAAGCTCACGTCTTGATCATAGCGTGCAGAGATGCGCATATCTCCTAAGATAAATGCTAAGAAGAGCAGTTCTGTCAGAAGAGAGCTATCCAGAGGACGGGATGAAAGGAATTGGGAATGAAGGACTGTCTGATACTCTCAGAATCATGGGAATTACAAAGCCATCTCCAGAGTCGCGGCTCTCTGTGGAAAAAGTTATTCTCCGCTTGGGTCTGATCTTGTTTTTGTCAGCTGCTCCGCCTCTGCTGATCTGTCTGTCTATCTGTCTGTGTGTGTGTTTCTGTATGTTTTTAAAATGTGTCTCTATAGCTCTGTTTCAAATGCCACTGAGCACACTTAATGTCTGCTTGCTTTTTTAGATAAAGTGCCCTTGAAATGTGCCTCATAAACTGCATTGCTAGTAACACAAAATACATCAGGGGTGTCCAAACTTAGTCCTGGAGGGCCGGTGTCCTGCAGATTTGAGCTCCAACTTGCCTCAACACACCTTCATGGATGTTTCTAGTTAGAGCTTGATTAGCTAGCCCAGGTGTGTCTGATTGGGGTTGGAACTAAACTTTGCAGGACACCGGCCCTCCAGGACCGAGCTTGGACATGCCTGAGATGCATAATAATTTTACTTTTCTCTTTACAAGTAACGTAGTGCATTACTTTTAAAAATGAAGTAATATTATTTAACCCTTGTGTATTGTTCAAATTGATTACCCTTTCGTTATGTTCGGGGCGGTTTTTGCCCCATTGAATTCCATTATAACTGTGTTTTTTGATTGCAAAGTCATGACCAAATAATCATGTGTTATTGATTGTTGATGTTTTTCCTTGTTGAGAGGAGATCAGACTTTTTATTTTACTGTTGATCATCAATTGGCAGCATTATCCCTTAAGATTTGATTCATAAACAGCAGTGTATAGTGTCTGTGTGTGCATAAATACACTTACTATGTTCTAAGAGCTGAGCTGCTTTTTTATTCTCTCAAATATATCAAGGTAAGTGCGCAAAAGGTCTCTCCACACACGCGCATATACACACACACACACACACACACACACACACACACACACACACACACACACACACACACACACACACACACACACACACTATGGCCCATCCCCAATTCTATTCCTTCACCTTGGCTCTTGAAAGATTTTACTCCTAAGTAAAAGGACAGCTCTACAACACCATACACGCGTCATAGAATGTCATTGCGAGCGCTTACTTTATATGAGATCCACAATGGGGTATATGCCAAAGCATGCTAATAGGACTTTTTATTTGCCAGTAACCTCGGTTAAGCGCTTCCGGCGAACTGAATGCCAATGCAAAAAACGGCCCGTTTAAGGTCTGTTTACTTTAAAAATCTGAGATTTCCACTAGCTAAGTGATATCCAATATAAAGTGAGTCTCAGATTGTACAATAAACACTGCATTAAATTACAAATTCCCCCGCCGTGTCTTTATAATATGAGCATTTATTTTACCCCAGTATATTCAATGGAGCTTTTGCACTAGCCTGCCGATTCTGATAAACGCGTTCGAGTAAACGGCTTTTTGTCTCGTTTTACGCTTGAGCAACTAAATGAATGCCAAAGTTTATTTTACTGAATGTATTTTAATGACATTACAACATCGATGCTGTAAAAGCAACTGTATAAAATGGAAAAAAAGTTCACAATAACAGGTCACCGAAAGTTTATCAGTATGGGAGAAACACTAGCTCGGCATATACCCTTTAGCGACTGTTGTAGCTATTCCAGTTGCATTATTTTTTTAGCATTTATCTTAAAGGAAATGACAAAGGGAATGATATGATGTTGTCATAACGATATAATGTGGCAATAAGCTCGCAATTGTGCTGTGCATTTACACCGTGACCATATTCATCTATGTAAACACACGAAAACAACATTAACATAATAGCAGACACTTTAAAAAGCTCTTTCTCAGCCACTAGACTGTTCTGACAGGGGATTCGAGTGTCATCAGTTGTCAGATGTGAAAGTATGTTGTGGGACTACTATACAGGAGTTATTATTATGCATTACAGATCATTATACATACATTTTTAAAAAAACATGACGGTAAAACTCGAACACGGTTAAGAATATATTAAAACATATGCTTGTTTGTTGTAATAATGACAAACGAATTTATGCATCTCCAGATTCCGTGTGCAGACATGCTGCTATTATAGATGGTGTATTCTGGGAACTTGTTAATACCTCCTGCTTTCGAGTGTGGTCCTGAAAAATCTTTGTTTGAAGGGGTATCGAGCCCTTCCCACTACCTCTACGCCTTCAAGCTAAAGGGGTTTGGGACACCCCTATGCCTTCACATGAATGCACAAAATGAGGGGTAGAGGTAAGGGTAAAGGCTAAGGAGTAGAATTGGCAATGGGCTTATATTAAGTCCAGAAGCTAAGCTGTTTTAGCACTGCAACTGATGATCAACTGTAAGAAAAAATAATAATAATGTATTTTGACCTCTCTCCCCAACAGGGAAAACCAGCAACAATCAAGAACGCATGATTAAATGGTGTCATAGATTTGCAATCTAAAAATCTCTATACAATATAAGTCAATTGGGCAAAATCAGCCCCGAACATAATGAAAGGGTAATCAATCTGCCCAGAGTGTTTACATTTTTGAAAAATTTCTAAGCATTTTCCCAAAATGTGTGTCAAAATAAGATTTTTTTTATCAAAAAATTATTCGATTTGCTGAAACAGAGAAAGTTGTGGCTAAATTAAGTACTGTTGGTAATGAAAGCATCCCCAACGGTATAGAAGGGTTAAAATGAATTTTTAAATGTAACGCAAGTTACTTTTTATTTGAATTAGTTTGCTTCTAATAAAAAAAAAAAAATTGCTGAATTAAAATTAATATTGAATCACGATGATAGAATGCAATCAAAGAACACATCAAAGAAAAGTGATTTTACTAATAAGACAAAATGTATAAAAGTAGCAAGCACATTGCTTTAAGCTTTCATTAATCTGTATAAACGGCTTGTGTAACTCTGGGGTCAGGTAATTCTCAGAAGATTACATTATACTGAATTATCATTTTTTATGTTATTTGTTTTAAAACGTAACGAAAGAGTTGTCAGTTTGAGCAGTACAGTGCAGCCTGGCTCATATTTGAATCCAAGTTTCAGTGTTTATCATCACTCTCTTTCTGTTTTCCCTCAGCCGTCCCGCCGACCCCTCAGCCCACAGATGATGTGGATGTGTACTTCGAGACCCCAGCAGATGATAAAGAGCACAGCCGCTTCCAGAAAGCCAAGGAGCAACTCGAGATCAGACACCGCAACCGTATGGAGAGGGTGAGTGCAGTGTCACTTTAATTTTTCGGATATTCTGCATGCAACGTCAAAATTGTTATCCCCCTATGAATATATATCTTTTATATTTCCCAAATTATGTTAAACAGAAATTGGGGGAAAATATACGGGTGGGAGGGGGGTATTAATTATGACTTCAGCTGTATATGGTTATTATTCGTTCTCTATATTAAAACACAAACCAAATATACAGGTTAGTTTTTGCTGTAGTTGTAATTTTTTTAAAACTGAAGAATGAGAGCTTTTGGCCTTTAGTGAAACATGTTGGAGACTCTGTCCTGGTTTGGAGCTGCATTTCTTTCAGTGGCAATATAGTAAACAATAATGATCTTAAACACACGACTATTGCAGTGAAATCATCTGGTGAAACACTCATGAAATGGCCTGCCCAGAATCCAGACCTGAATATTATAGAGACAGTATGGAATCACATGAATTTATTTGACACATTTATTATTTAAATGATCTTTTTGGTGAACATTTGTACAGTTAAAACTACTGGGTAAATGTTAAAGCAGTAAAATCAAGTAAATGGGTAATGATTTGAGTAATGCATACAGTAAATCAAATATTTTATTTCCTGTTTCTTTTTCTATTGATTTTCTAATACAGCATGTATATTTTCATACCATTTAAACATACTTTAGTATCCACATTTAAACTCATTTAGCAATTATTTATGAATATAAAATAAAATACATTTATTTAGTTTATTTGCTTATCAAAATTCAACAAAACTGAACTGTTCAGGAGATAGATGTGGTTTTTATATGCTCATGTCTGTGTGAACGGAGGGTGACCATTCTCCCCAATGATAAACATTTCGGTTGAGCTCCTTGAGTGTCATCATTTACAGCTTGGGATGGTAATTCGCCTTTCTTCTCACATTTGCATTGACTTGTATGAAATTTATTCATGAAATATACACTACCTGACAAAAGTTTTGTCGTCGATTCGAAATAATAACTTGACTTCTAGCTGATCATTTGGAAAAGTGGCAAAAGGTCGATTTTTCAGATGAACAAATACTGCAGAAAACCTATTAGAACTCGCACGGACCCAAGATTCTCATTAAAATCAGTCGAGTTTGGTAAAGGAAAAATCATGGTTTGGGGTTACATTCAGTGTGGGGGCGTGCGAGAGATCTGCAGAGTGGATGTCAACATCAACAGCCTAAGGTGTCAAGACATTTGTGCTGCCCATTGCATTACAAACCAGAGGAGAGGGCAAATTCTTCAGCAGGATAGCGCTCCTCATACTTCAGCCTCCACATCAAAGTCCCTGAAAGCAAAGAAGGTTAAGGTGCTCCAGGATTGGCCAGCCCAGTCACCAGACATAAAGATTATTGAGCATGTCTGGGGTAAGATGGAGGAGGCATTGAAGAAGAATCCAAAGAATCTTGATGAACTCTGGGAGTCCTGCAAGAACGCTTTCATTGCCATTCCAGATGACTTTATTAAGTGATTTGAGTCATTGCAGAAATGTATGGATGCAGTCCTCCAAGCTCATGATGGGGTCAGACACAATATCATTACTTTTCCACTGCAGCATGACTTTATATTCTATACTGGACATTATTCTGTTAAGTGACAAGACTTTTGTCTAAGTAAAGTCAGACCTTACTGTCCTAATTAAATAATTAAAAATCAAGGCATGATCATATTTAATTTTGGAAAAATAAGCGTAATCTAGAGACCTTTGCCTTTCATAAAAGCCACTTCTGATACCAAATGATCAACTAGAAGTCAAGTTATTATTTGTTGTTCCTAAAACTTGGATAGCCGACAGGACTTTTGTCAGGTAGTGTACTTAATTCATCATTTGCTGTGAACTAGTGATGTGACGTAGTGCGCCGAGGCTTCGAAGCATGTATCAAAAAACGATACATCTCGCAGTGAAGCAGTGTACCGAAGCTTGATTGGTTTTGCCATAATCACGTGATCAGTGACGTCAGAAGCTTCCCACTGCTTCCAATTTTGATTAAAAGGTTTAAACACCCTCATGGGTTAGTAAAGTGTATAGCGAGAGATTAGGCGTCAATTACATACATTTCTATTGTTTCAAAGCACTAAACCGGTTTCACACACCAGTAATTTAACTAAAATAGAATAATAATTTATAGTAAAAAGGTTTTGAACCATTCTAAAGTGTATTAGCATATTTTTTATCTTACCTATAAAGAAAACCACTACATATCGTAGTATAGTGTTTAACGGAGGCCAGCATGGCGAGTGCAGCCTGAAAGCATCTCTCTCATAGCCTCCTCCGTAGAGCGTTCACCTCCCATGCAGGAGTCCCGAGTGAGTGGGTGAAGGACCAGTTGAAATACGATTAATGTAAATACTTTTGAATACCTTGGACTAGTCATCGGTGGTGTAATGTAACGTACCTTATTTGTATAAGCTACAGTAATTGAGTAATTTGTTTATATTACTGTTGTTGTAAATTATTGATGAATTTTACTTGTCAATTCATAAATTGTGTGTTGTATTTGCAACTGTTGTTGTATTACTACATGAATGAGTTGGTCAGTTGTGAACATTTGACATTATTGCAACAGTGCTTTCCCACACTTTAACCAGAAGAGGTCCTCATCGAGCTCTGATTTAGAAAGCTTCGAGTAACAAAACCTTTTCAGATACAATTAAGTCAAGCGCTTCGCTGGTTCAGAAAACTTCATTTCACCATTACTACTGAGAACTCAATATAAAAGTGTCCTTATTGCCACCTGTTGGTTCGGCGTGCACTTAACATGCATCAGTTTATTTTTGCATTTTCATGTGGACAGAGAATTGTTAAAAAACTAAATAATATCAGGATAGTTTTGATGATAAATGATATCAGGATAGTTGTATCACCATGGCATATTTAACGTCGATTAATACCAGAAAAATAACTTTTAATTCATCGTCCCCTTAATAAAGAGCCAGATCAGTTTCAAAAATAATACATTTACGAAATATAATACATCCACAACACAATTCACATTTACAAAATTCCCTTTGTAAGTCTAAAACACAATTCTTAAATACACAAATAGTTCATCAATTCAAAACGCAATCCATAATGTACACGAATTCAATTAGTACGTTTAAAACACGATTAAAAAATACACAAATCCATTTTGTAAATACAAAACGCAATTCAGAAATACACAAATCTGATTCATAATTTTAAAACACGATTCATAAACACTTAAATCCAATTTTAAATTCAAAACAATTCGTAAATACACAAATCCAATTCTTAAATTCAAAACGCAATTCAAAATTACACAAATCTGATTTGTAAGTTCAAAACAAAACTCATAAACGCACAAATCCAATTCGTAAATTCAAAACACAAATTATAAACACACAAATTCAATTCGTAAGTTTCAAACACGATTTTAAAATACACAAATCCAAATCGTAAATTCAAAACACGATTCATAGATACACAAATCCAATTCATTTGACGAAATTATTGATGAATTTTACTTGTCAATTCATAAATTGTGTGTTGTATTTGCAACTGTTGTTGTATTACTACATGGATGAGTTGGTCAGTTGTGAACATTTGACATTATTCTAACACAGTGCTTTCCCACACTTTAACCAGAAGAGGTCCTCATCGAGCTCTGATTTAGAAAGCTTCGAGTAACAAACCTTTTTCCGATACAGTTAAGTCAAGCGCTTCGCTGGTTCAGAAAACTTCATTTCAGCATTACTACTGTGAACTTAGTATAAAAGTGTCCTTATCGCCACCTGTTGGTTCGGCGTGCACTTATTATGCACAGTTTATTTTTGCATTTTCACATTGACAGAGATTTAAAAAACGAATTCAGGGAGAACTCCCTTTAAAAAAACACCCGTGCACATGTGGACATGACCTTATATGTGTTTCTCTCTCCAGGTGAGGAAGGAATGGGAGGAGGCCGAGAGCCAGGCCAGAAACCTACCCAAAGCTGAGAGACAGACATTGATCCAGGTAAACATCCTCATCCACGCCAGAGGACATCTCGTTCAGGAAGTATCTGTTTATTTATGGGGGTTTTATTATTGTCTCTGCAGCACTTCCAGGCCATGGTGGAGTCTCTGGAGGAGGAGGCAGCCAGTGAGAAGCAGCAGCTGGTGGAGACTCATCTCGCCCGGGTGGAGGCCATGCTGAACGACCGCCGCCGCCTCGCCCTGGAGAACTACCTGGCCGCTCTGCAGGCTGACCCACCACGAGTAAGATCACACTCAGTGACATAATGCCAGCCTAGTTACAGCTGAGATTATAAAGTTATTTTTGGTAGTGAATTAGGGTCATTAAGGGGCTGTTTACATCTGGTCAGTATGAAAATGTATTTGAGGTCAGTTTAAATCTGCTATAAATTTGCTCTGCAATGTTATTAATATGTTACAGCAGCAAAGTTGTTTGATTATTACGCTAGAATGAAAGTATAGTTCCTAGGTATATCCACCTAGAAAATAGCAACTTTTCTTTTTCTCTAATTCTTAGTACACAATGTAACTACAGAAGAGTCGAGCTTTAAATAGAAAAAGGTCAAATTTATTTAAAATATTTTTTAAGTAAGATGCTAATGGTCTAATTGGATTCAATTATCTATGCTAAGCTAAGCTAAGCTAAAAGTACTCCTGCCGGACCCAAAGATTGGCTAAATGGATTTAATAATGGCATGACTTAACTGTTTATCTCTAGGGGAGTTGTCAAATGAACCTATTTACAAAAAATTGGAGTGTTCCTTTAAATCAGGGGTGTCAAACCCAGTTGCTGGAGGGCCATAGCCTTTAATTTAGTTGCAATCCTGCTTCAACACACTTACCTGTAGGTTTCAAACACGACTGATAGACTCATTTACTTTGATCAGGTGTGTTTAGTTAGGGTTGGAACTAAACTGTGCAGAGCCTAGACCCTCCAGGAGCTGAGTTTGACATGTTTGATTTAAATGCATATATGGTCTAAACTAGCCTATAAATAACCTTAAGGCTAATATATTCATAATAAATGCCACAAAGAGTTTTTTAAAAGGGTTTAAAATATTTTTCATGAAATATTATTGTATTTTCATAAAATGTGTCATAAAATTGTCCCCAAATGACATAAAACCTGAACTCAATTAACTTTTTTTCTTAAGAATTCTTAAGAGACTTCTTGACTTTGACACACAGTCACAAAGTGTCTGCAGCTATCCTGTTTTTATAATTGTTTATTGCATGACTTACTGTAGCTTTTTCAATGTATTGTGTGTATATATATATATATATATATATATATATATATATATATATATATATATATATATATATATATATATATACATATATATATATATATATATATTTAAATACATGTATTCTAAAAGGAAAATATTAATACAAGATTATACTTAGCCACTTTTGTCTTGATATCAGGATAGTTGGATCACCATGGCATATATAACGTCAATTAATAACAGAAAAATAACTTAATTCATCGTCCTCTTAATATAGAGCCAGATCAGTCTCAAAAATAATACATTTACAAAATATAATACATCCACAACACAATTTACATTTACAAAATTCACTTTGTAAGTTTAAAAAATACACAAATCTATTTTGTAAATTCAAAACACGATATACTCAAATGCAACTTGTATATTCAAAACACTATTCGTAAATACACAAATCCAATTTGTAAATTCAAAACGCAATTCAGAAATACACAAATCCAATTCGTCAATTCAAAACACTATTCGTAAATACACATCCAATTCATAAGTTCAAAACACAATTCATAAACGCACAAATTCAATTCGTCAATTCAAAATATAATTCGTAAATACACATCCAATTCGTAAATTCAAAACGCAATTCAAAAATACACTAATCTCTTTCATAAATTCAAAACACGATTTATAAAACATGATTCATAAACTCACAAATCCAATTGTAAATTCAAAACAAGATTCATATATATACAAATTCAATTCGTAAGTTCCAAACACAATTTAAAAATACACAAATTCAATTCATTTAGTGAAATTATTTATGATTTTTACTTGTCAATTCACAAATTGTGTGATGTATTTACAAATTCAGCTTTAAATTCACAATTTAGATTTTGTAAATGTAAGTTTTAGATTTCTGAGACTGATCTGGCTCTATATCCAAATGCATTTAACAGATTTGTCATGTCATGCACTATCTTTTGAAATCCAGTCATAGTTGCTTGCAAGAGACACATTACCTAGTAATGCCTGTTAATACCAGGTGTAGGTGGCATTGCATTTATACTGACCACATGTGATCCATTCACTCGAGATGGATGTTAAAATCTGGATTAAGTGCTCCACATTGACACTATATAAATGAGTGTGGATCATGTGCGCTCATGTGAGAAATGCACACTCTGAGCAGAAGTTCAGCAGACAAGCGCTTGCTTGAAGGATTGTTCTCATCTCATAATTACCACATTACACTTCCATTCCTTAAGTCTCAGATGGGCGATGGTGGTGTTTCCCCTCTGCGACTTGGCGGATTACCTGTCCTCCATTACCCGGCTGAAACCTTATAACAGGAGGGGGGCGGCTTCAGTTACTTTAGATATTAATATGAATCAGGCACCTATGTAAAGTTTAATCCTCTGAAATGACTTGCGCGAAGAGAACCAGAGTCAGCATCGCTACTAATCCTTCTCTATGCAGCAGATCTTTGGGCTCTTTGATTTACGGATCAGCCAGCTCATAAGATGACCACCTGACCTGATATTTTCTCTGCTTTATTGTCATTTCATCTGCTCTCTCTCTGTCTCTGCAGCCTCATCGTATCCTGCAGGCCCTGAAGAGATACGTGCGTGCAGAGAATAAGGATCGTCAGCACACTATCCGCCACTACCAGCACGTCCTGGCTGTGGACCCAGAGAAGGCTGCCCAGATGAAGTCCCAAGTCAGTATCTGCTTCCCTTTCGTAATAAATCACATACTTCCGTCCTTTCTCACAGAGTTTTAGAGCATTTGTATTTAAGGGTGTCACGATCCTCCAAATCCTCTATTCGACTACATTTTCGATTCTAAAGGTTCGATTCGATTTTCGATTATGAATAATTAATTAATTAATGACCAATTAATTATTTGTAGCCTACCTTTTAAACTAACTGACCTGCATGGTCTTTGTTTTACCCATAAACAAATCATACAGTAAATGAATAAAGGCAAGAAACACACATAATTACCACCTGTCAATCACTTTTTCTGCGGGACTCGTGAATAGGCAGTGATCTGTGTCGTTATAATGGCGTCGGTAAAAAAGACGCACAACCAACAGGAACCAGCCAACAGTATCTGAGGTGTTCGCTAAAATGACTAAGTACAAGTGAGTGAAAGATTGAAGCAGTCCTCTGACTGCCTGGACCCGCTGTCTCGAGCGCATGGCTGCATATGCGTCTGTGTCTGTGTGGTCTCGTGATGTGCATTTTCAGAGGTAGACAGGAAGGAGGCGCTGCTCAGAAATGCTACACGCCACTGTGGATGTCAAATCGTTGTCGTTCTAAAATGCCATTTAAAAACAAAGACAGTGTAAACAGGGCCTGAGTGTGTACTTTTGGCGAGCGGATTTGCAACGGGGGCGGGCGGAGGATCGCGATGCTGGTGTTGTCTATCGGACGAACCGTACATAATACGTACATAGCAGAGCTTGCAAAACTGTGTTTTTTTTGTCGACAACTCGAACGTTGTCAACATAACTCACTGGAAATCCAAAATGCTTACACACCGGCGACTTCATTGAAAGAGGAGAGGGTTTAAGCTCTGTCAATGGGTCTCCTGCTTCTGCAGTTTAACAAGCACTTCAACAAGCCTGTTATTTTCCTGCTTAGCAAGCCAAGCTGACGTGATGCAACTGACTCTTCAAGGGAATAGGAGATGAGACTCTGATTGGTTTATTCTTAAAACACACCCATAACTCTTAACCTTAAGAATAAGCAACACCCAGTTAGACCATGTGCCGCAGTGCAGAGTTTATTTTTTCATCCTTAAAATAGCAAAAATTATCGTAAAGTTGCTCATTTATTATTATTATCTTTTTTTAAAGAATTCCTTTCAATTTTTATTTAATTTTTCATTTAGTATTAATGAATAATTTTTTTCTTTCAGAGGATATGCTTGTTTATAATTCATTTATTTAATTTATTTTATTTTTAGAGGATAGTGGAAAAATAAGAAATGTCCTATGTTTTATTGTATACTTTGATGTATTGTCTTGTTAAAAAAAAAAAACAATTGGACATGCCCTTAATGCTTTTGTGCCATGCGCTTTGCGCCTAGATCGCTAAAATAGAGCCCATTATATTTAGAAAAAATGTCTTTCCATTAAACACAAATTTGGGATAAAAATTGTTCAGGAGGGCTAATAATTCTTACTTCAAATGTATATAATTATTTTTCGTTCTCTATATTAGAATACAAACCAAAAACACAGGTACGGACTCTGTCCTGCTTTGCAGCTGCATTTTTTCCAATGGCAGTATTGTTTGAATTGTGAATACTGAAAAGTAAACTAAAGATCCTGAACACACAGCTATTTCAGATGAAACACTGACAGTCATGAAATGGCCTGCCCAGAATCCAGACCTAAACATTATAGAGGCTGTATGGAATCATATGAATCTAAAACGAAAGATTCAATAGCCTAAATCTAAGTAAGAACTCTGGGAAGTGCTGAATGAGGCTAAATATTACAGGAGGGGTTATATAAAAAATTCATGGTTTATTAAGGCGGTTATTGTTGCCAAGGGAAATCACATTATACACCAACTTTTACATAAAGAAGTAGTTTTTTTCTAAATATTGTGTTCTTTTTTTAAAATTGTGTAAATATTTCCCCTATATTTTGGTTTGTGGCTGCATACAGACTCCGTGTTTAATGAATTTTAGGCCACCAATTCTGGAGGTGGCCTAAGACTTTCACACTGGATTCTTTTATTTCAATGTCATGTGAAAGAGTATCATTGTACAGCTCTTGTGTAACATCACACTTTGTGATTTGATTGGATTTTAGTGGCATGACCCTGTCCTTATTTTTGATGTTTGCCATGGGAGCCGGGACGTGGCAAAGCCCCAGAGGTGTGCTTAGAACAGAGAATCATGGGAAACCAAATCTACATTTGCAACCATTTCTGTTTACGCACTGATGGCAGTTCCTGTTTACTTCAGAGTTAATTAGAGGCAAACTTCCTGGTTTCGAGTTGTGGGGCTATAGATTCAAGAGTTTTTTTTTAGGATCATTTTACAAGCAGGTTTCATCAGTTGATCAACTAACAATGAGAAATGTGTTTGTTAGTGTATATAATGATTCTGTTAATGTTAATTTATAAATATGATTCATTTATATATGAATATAGTTCATTGCTAGTTCTTGTGAGCTCAGGCCTTACTTTTAATAATAATAGATACATCATTTGAGTTTAGTTTTGTATCATTAAATGGTATCGTTGATATTTAACACCTTAAACCATTTTTAATTGATTTTCCCAATTTTAACTTGCACAACAAAAATACATAAATGAATTGATATAAAATACAAGGAAATAAAGTTAAAAAAATGAAATAAAATAAAATACAGTCAAATAAAATGAAATAAAATACAATTCAAAAAAATAAAATACAATGAACTAAAATAAAGAGAAATAAAAAATAAAATAAAATGAAAAATAAAATGAAATAAAATACTATGAAATTAAATTAAATACAGTTAAATAAAAGTAAATTAATTTAAGTAGTCATATAAAATAAATTAAATAAAATTAATTACAGCCAGATAAAATAAAATAAAATTAAATAGTAAAATAAAATAAAATAAAATAAAAAACAATGAAAATAAAATTTAATTAAAAATTCAAATAAAATTTAATTAAATACAGTAAAATAAAATTTTATTTGCACAGCGCGCAAGAGCCGTTTTTGTTGAGGGTATGAACAATCAAAGGGGTGTAAGAGAACTTGGTTGGCAAGGATAAGAAAGCGAGCTGGATATTTATATTTGTTTATAGTAATTGCTATCAATGCTTGAGTTGTTTAAAGGTACAGTTTATATATCTGACTGTTTGTATTAAATGACACAATTGCATTGCAAATAGTATATAAATATATTCATACATTATAATACAAGAATTCTGCTGTGAAGAAAATATAAAACTGTGTATGGAAAGCACCATGATGCACCGAGATATGGAATTGAACCGAATCGATGGCATACGATGGCTTCGCTGAGGCCTTCTTCCAGCCTCCACCACGGCGTCTGAAGCTCTGCACAAGACTTTTGGCCAGCGGAGAAATTAAAATGGTCGTGCCCAACTGAGTCTGGTTCAGGATTGGTAGAGCTACGCATCGATGAATTTGCTCTTCAGTGTTTGAACTCTCAGTAATGGTTAAATCACACTGAACTGAGCTAAACTGAACTGAACTTAAACACTAAAAAACTGAACTACACTGTTCCAGTTACTATGACCATTTATGTGAAGCTGCTTTGACACAATCTACATTGTAAAAGCGCTATACAAATAAAGCTGAATTAAATTGAATTGAATACTAATCGTAACCGAACCGTGAGACCAGTATAGGTTCACAGCTCTAACAGAAGATACAGAAGTCCAAAATGCTCAGAAAATACCTCACATATTGTGCAGGGAGGAACAAGACACATACTTATTGCAAAACACTTCATAGTTTCCTAGCTACTATCCATTTACCTGTATGGTTGGGACATGTTTAAGAATATTTAAGATGGAAGTAATATTTTATTTTATTGTTTAACTTGCATTTTTTTATAACTAATATTTTTGAAACTTGACATCCCATTGAACGGTATGATTTTTAGGTTCACAAATGTTATGGTAAGTTTTTTTGTTTTAATCATCAGCTATTGTAGGTTTTCTAAAAGTCTTTAGCCTCTGGGCTGTGCTTTATATAACCCTCCGTTTGTAAAAACTGCAGTCCAATCTGTTTTGGTTCTCTCAATTGACTTTGAGTCCAGGTATGACTGGCAGTCCAACATAAACCGTGTTACTTCCTAAACCAACAGTGCGACGGCTAAATACAGCGTGCAGGAACTTTCTGAGGTCCAGACGGACGCCTGGAGGGTCTATGAGGACATTTTAGAGCTTTTTTTCGCCCTCAGATTTGCATAGGCCCGTCATTGCCATCTGTTGCTGGTTTTTGAGCATTGCACACACATTTGATGACAACAAAAGGAACAGGCGTGGTTGCTCAAACACATTTTTACAAGCCACAGTCAGCTTCATCTCCTCGCCATTATGCATTCAGATTACCGCAAAGCTTTAGTGCTATTGTGATTTACGGTAATCCATCCACCGCTTACATGCCCTTTAACACAATCACAGACCTGTTCTGTCTTGCAGGATGAAGCCACCTTGTGCAAGTGCTCTGTATTAACAGCATGCGTTTGGGTTTATTAGGTGATGACGCATCTGAGGGTGATCGAGGAGAGGATGAACCAGAGCCTGTCTCTGCTCTACAAGGTGCCGTATGTTGCAGAGGAGATCCAGGATGAGATTGGTAAGGGTGCAGGACTGGAAAAAGAATGATGGTTAAAGTTAATGGAGTTTGTGAAGTTGATAAGTTAATGAGGCATTTACAGGGTGATTGTACAGTGTTACTCTTACAGTTCAAGACAGAATTATATATATTTTTCCCCCCAATTTCTGTTTAACGGAAATATTTTTTTTCAACATTTCTAAACATAATAGTTTAATAACTGCTTATTAACAGATTTTTTAAATATCCATAGTATTTCTTTTTCTTTTTTTATCTCAACGGTTACCGATTTCTAGTTTTCTTCTAAATATCTTCAACAGAATCTACAGTGCATCCGTAAAGTATTCGTAGCGCTTCACTTTTTATTCCAAAATGGATTAAATACATTTATTCCCTCAAAATTCTACACATAATACCCTCATAATAAAAAAAGTGAAACAAGATTTTTTGATTTGTTGCAAATTTATTAAAAATAAAATATTCACAGCCTTTGCTCAATACTTTTTTGATGCGCCTTTGGCAGTAATTACAGCCTCAAGTCTTTTTGAATATGATGCCACAAGCTTGGCACACCTGTTTTTGGGAATTTTTGCCCATTCCTCTTTGCAGTACCTCACAAGCTCTATCAGGTTGGATGGGAAGCAACGGTGTACAGTCATTTTCAGATCTCTCCAGAGATGTTCAGTAGGATTTAGGTCTGCGCTCTGGCTGGGCCACTCAAGGACATTCACCGAGTTGTTGTGAAGCCGCTCCATTGATATTTTGGCGGTGTGCTTTGAGTCATTGCCCTGCTGGAAGATAAACCATCACCTCAGTCTGAGGTCAAGAGCACTATGAAGCAGATTTCTATCAGGTTGTCTCTGTACATTGCTGTATTCATCTTTCCCTATATCCTGACTAGTCTTCCAGCTCCTGCTGCTGAAAAACATCCCCACAGCATGATGCGGCCACCACCATGCTTCACTGTAGGGATGGTATTAGCCTGGTGATGAGCGGTGCCTGGTTTTCTCCAAACATAACACCTGGCATTCAGTCCATAAAGTTTAATTTTAGTCTCATCAGACCAGAGAATTTTGTTTCTTATAGTGTGAAAGTTCTTCAGATGCCTTTTGGAAAATTACAGGCGGGGAGTTGCTACCGTCTGGCCACTCTACCATACAGGCCTGATTGGTGGATTGCTGCACAGATGGTTGTCCTTCTGTAAGGTTCTCCTCTCTCCACAGAAGAACGCTGGAGCTCAGACTGAGTGATCATCTGGTTATTGATCACCTACCTGACTAAGGCCCTTCTCCCCCGATCACTCAGCTTAGATGGCCGGCCAGCTCTAGGAAGAGTCCTGGTGGTTCCAAACATCTTCCACTTATGGATGATGGAGGGCACTGTGTTCATTGAAACTTTCAGAGCAGCAGAAATTGTTCTGTAACCATCCCCAGTCTTGTGCCTCGTGACAATCCTGTCTCGGAGGTCTACAGACAATTCCTTTGTCTTCATGCTTGGTTTGTGCTTTGCCATGCACTGTCAACCCTGAGACCTTATATATAGACAGGTGTATGCCTCTTCAGATCATGTCCAATCAACTGAATTGACCACAGGTGAATTCAAATTAAGCTGCTGAAACATTTCAAGAATGATCAGTGGAAACAGAATGTACCTGAGCTCAATTAAGAGCTTCACAGCAAAAGCTGTGAAGCTGTGAATACTTCTGTACATGTGATTTTTCAGGTTTTTTATTTTTAATAAATTTGCAACAAATTCAAAAACTCTTTTTTCCACATTGCCATTATGGGGTATTGTGTGTCGAAGTTTGAGGAAATAAATTATTTGAATCTATTTTGGAATAAGGCTGTAACATAAAAAAATGTAGAAAAATAATAAGTTAACTTAATTCCTTCATGTTGTCCCAACACAAATTACACTGTAAAAAATACTAATTTCCACACAATTCCTACATGTTGTCCCAACACAAATCCATTAGATTAACTTACTCGTTTTTACAAAACAGTTATGGATTGAACATAACACAATTAAGATGTCCCAAACAAAACCTAACAGTTGTGTTGGTTCAACTCATAGTAAATAAGTAGCTTGAACAACAAGCATAAGTAATGTTTGAGTGTAGAAACCGCACAGGGGTGAGTAAATAGTGAGTACATTTTGATCTTCGGGTAAACCATGCCTTTAATAAGTAAAATAGAATTTTTACACTTGGACTGGAAGAGAAAGATGCATTATTTTTAGTTCATATTTGTTAAGCAGGTTTCCTTTTACAGGTGAAATGGAACAAAAACTAAATGCAAATTGCACTGAAAAGTCACAGTATTTAATAGAAACTGCTAAATTAAGGCGTACTGTATCCATTGGACAAGAGATGTTGTCAGAACAGGCTAATGTGGTTTGGTATTGGTATAATGTGCTTGGGAAAATAAACTTGCACAATAACTTGGGTACACACACACACACACACACACACACACTTTAGGTGGAGCTGATTTGAGAGTCCATCTTTGTTTTGCTATTTAAATCTCTCGCTTCTTTCTGCATCTTAATTTTACCTCAACTCTGCTTCCATTTTCTTTTTGTCACATCATATTATTTGCGTCATGTGTTTGAGGAGCACAAGAAGTACTAGTCGTAGCTATTTTCCTCTGTTGCTAGGTAACAACTGAGAAGAAGGTGTCCGCTTCAGTGTTTTACTCGTGTTTTTGTCCATTTGGTTTTACTACCGAGCGTAAACACACAGACGTGTCGGCTGCTGAGAACACACTGATTCTGTTTGCAAAAAGATCCACCCAGGGAGATTCTGAATGTGAGACATTAAGTGTTAGCCTCCAGTTTTTATTTTTATTTTTCTCCACTGGGATCTCAAAAAGTGCTTGGATTTTTGAGAGCTTTAAACCATAAACCATGTTGCATCTGAAGCAAAAAAAACTCTTTTATAATCCAATGAAATGCTGTAAATGACTTATTCGAATCAGAAACGACAGTACAATATTAGACTACTCCCTCATAATGATTTATTATTGTAATATTTAAAAGCTTATATCAAAATATGTCATATAGGGCTGTGCAATATAATAAAATATGTTGTGTAAAAATAATAAGAAGTATATTGTTTCAAATTATGCTCTATAGTTTATTTTGTGGTGCCAGAAAATACATGGTTTACAGTAATAATTTTGACATAATTGATTTGAGCACAATATTACATGCCATTACAGGGATGAAGAGAGCAGCAGTACAAAAAAAGTTTACATTATATATTTTATTTCGCTATATGACTTTTTTTTTTTTAATTATCAACAAGTACATGTATAAAATATACTGACCTGTGCAAAATAAACAAAAAAAAAAACACATTATGTATGTTAATTTGAAGGCCGCAGGCCGAGTGCCTTAATGTCCCACCAGTGACGATATACAGTCATAACGCACTGCTACGAGTGAGATATTGCGTTTATACAACACTCTGACGGCATAATCATGTATATAACAAAGAAAATCAAACACAGAAAGTCTCAAACCCATTTGTACGAGGAACTAAATTCTTCCACCATTCATTGACATTGACAGCTCATGTCAGAACAGCAGAAACCGTTGCTACTTTACACACGTCACTTTAGAGCTAGTGTTTGAATAATGCTCTAGCATGATGTCTAAAGTGATGACAAAACAGCTGATTTTGCTCACATTTTAAGATTAAATGGCTGGACGGCATGAAATGCCATCCTTCTACAGAGATTTTCCAGTATCTCTTTGTTGTGATCGGGAGATCCCAATAAATAACCTCAAAGCAGCTAAAGCAAAGCAAACACTACCAGATGGTTATGGTATAAATACAGCACTACAAAATATAAAAGAGACTTGTCGCATACCTGTTTTATGTTTTGATCAGTTGTAGTTTAAAATTACACTGAGCTTTTCTATCCCAAGGACTTATTATGCTGTCTCTGTTGCCATCTTGTGGCGGAACATCAACCATATTTGCTCTGCTCAGTATGACAGGCTGATGGCTTCAGATGTGCTTAAAATCCCAAGATTATAAATATTTAAAATATTTATAAATAAACTGCACAGTTACAATCTAAACAACTTCATTCTCACGTAAAAAGCCTCAAAAGTACATTGTTGTCCAACAGCTGCAATATTTGTCAAATTTTAGTGAGTTTATTAATTTGCTGTCACTCTATGTGGGTGGAGTAACACAGGAGGATGAAGAAGCTGCAAGAGTGCTGTTATTATGGGAATATTGCACAGCGATCTGCCAATCAGATTCAAGAACCGTGTGTGTGTGTGTGTGTGTGTGTGTGTGTGTGTGTGTGTGTGTGTGTGTGTGTGTGTGTATATATATATATATATATATATTAGGGTTGTAACGGTATGAATTTTTCACGGTATGATAATAGTCTAAAACAATACCACGGTTTGACGGTTTCGCGGTATACGGTATGTTACAAATGTTACAAAATAATAGAACAGTGAAGCAAATTTGACTTTTTCCAAATAATATATTTTTAGTTACTATAAACAACACCACTTACAATGAACAAATAAAAATAAGAAAATAATAAATAATGTGTCAAAGTCCAAATAAAGTCCAAATAAACATGGTGCAAATCCTCAGTAAAAAATAGATATAAATATTTACTGTACTATAAATAGTTACATAACGAAACTAGATTCAATATGGAACATCCTTAGGTTTTATGTGCCAGCATGGATATGGTTGTCTGTGGATATGGATTTGGATATGGTTGTCTGCAGTGCAGACAAACAGCTGCATCTTCATTTGCGTCTTTTGAAAACAGCAAGAGCAGCAGTTCGTCTTTGCTGTGTCACTGTTTTGTCATGTTTCTGTGCTGCTGTGCATGCAAAAGTACTTAGTATGAGAATTATTTCATGCAAAACTTTTTTTTTTTGCGTTTTATTTAGCCGCGCATAAATGTATGCCTATCTCTCATTCCGTGTTGTTCAAAAAGCTTGGTCCACAAACAAAAGTGAAACCTATGCTTATTGGTTGTGATATAGCGAGTTTGAACCAATCTGGGCATGGAGGAGGGACAATGCATCAATGTATCATGTCTGATTTGTCCGGAGACACAGTGACGAGCGTTTCTTTGTCAAATCAGCGTTGTCAAATGTTGATGACGTAACCGCACTGATTCCGGAGCCTCTCAAAGTCCGCGAATGTTATGTGATACTGGAAAGCTGAGATTCTCTTCTTTATGCCAATCTTTGAATTGTATGAATCGGATCAGCGGATCAAAAGTTATTAAACATTTAAGAGCAATACTTATTTTTAGCCGCGGGCGGCTGTCTCGGTCTTTAAGGGTTAAAACCGTTGATATGCAATTGTTCATGGTATGATAATCGTGCACGTTCAAATCGTGGTAGACCGTCATACCGGTATATTGTTACAACCCTAATATATATATATACACACACACAATCACAGTTGAAGTAAGTTGAAGCCACACAGAAACGCCAACTGACCCAACCGAGGCTCGAACTAGCGACCTTCTTGCTGTGAGGCGACAACACTACTTTATATATGTGTGTGTGTGTGTGTGTATAGTAATTTATAAAGATAGTAATAAAGTCAATATTTTTTTTATGTTATTAAAAATAAGTGTTTTATTTAATTGATTATTTGCTCTGAAGTTTTGAATAAATCTTAATAATGTGATCTAAAAATAAATCTAATATGTTCTAAATCAGTGGTTCCCAACCTTTTTCTTTGGGGCCCCCCCAATAAACATATACAAACATTGGAGCCCCCCCACCATATAAATACACACGCACGCACGCACGCACACACATATGTACTGTGTGTGTATATATATATATATATATATATATATGTGTGTGTGTGTGTGTGTGTGTGTTTGTGTAATATTAATATATAGTAATATGTATAGAAATTATTAATTAATCAGTTTTAACTTGTCTTGGCCTTCAATAAAACCAAAATTTAGGTAGGCTTTGTCATACTGTCTAATCTTTTTCTTCGCCTCTGAAGAATCACTGCATTTACGTTTGTCTGCCATTTTTGTTTTGATTTTGCCTTTACGATACGTTGACAAGCAGATTGCGCGAGTGAGCAAAATTTAAATAATTATTTAAAGTTATTTATTTTAATTATTTTCACTATTATGTTGGAATTTTAAGCATGTGTTTAGATTTTTTTTAATTTTTTTGGGCTGCTCGATTTTGGGAAAAATCATAATCCCGATTATTTTGGTCATAATTGTAATCACGATTATTCAAAACCATTGCCAGTTAAGGTCAAAATTATTAGCGCTCCTGAGATTTTTTTTTTTATAAATATTTCCCAAATTATGTTTAACAGAGCAAGGAATTTTAACAGTATTTCCTATAATATTTTTTCTTCTATTTGTTTTATTTTAGCTAGAATAAAGACAGGTTTAAATATTTTGAAACCAATTTAAGGTCAATATTATTAGCCCCCTTAAGCAATATTTATTTTTGATTGTCTGCAGAATAAACTAGCGTTATAATGACTTGCCTTATTACTCTAATTAAGCCTTTGAACTGCACTTTAATCTGAATGCTTGTATTTTGAAAAATATCTAGTAAAATATTATGTGCTGTCATTATAGCAAAGACAAAAAGAAATCAGTAATTAGAAATGAGATATCAAAACTATTATGTTCAGAAATAAGTTATTAAATTTTCTTTCCATGAAACAGAAATTGGGCAGGAAAAGGTTTGCTAATATTCAAGAGGGCTAATAATTCTGACTTCAAGTGTATACATACAGTTATTTTCCACCCTGCAATGGAAAGAGAAATAAATACAATAGAATAAAAATATGAAACAAACTGTGCTTTAAGTATCTTCACTGTAAGAAAAACACTTTAGCTACAGCAGACCTTCAGTCAAGAGCAGCGAGGGCTTTCTCGTTATGTTTGTTTAATAATGATAAAAACAGGCGGCAGAAGGATTATAGCGCGCTGTATCTTTAATGGTTTCTCTTTCACGTCTTTTGATCCTCAACTCGTTTGTTTATTATACAAATGAGGGTTAATATAAATAATCACTAAACACCGCGTTTTGACACCTATTTGACCATTAAAGCGTTCACGTTAAGATGACTTTAGATGTCTGCGCTCCTCTGCTCGTCTCAGTGTGCGAATGAGAATGAATGCTGACCTGCCGCATGCTTCTGAATGCGTGATCGTGCTGCACACACACATAAGCTCTTTCGCGCTTTTAAGAGCAACACGTGTACAACTGTGGCGAAATGTGATGCAATAATCATTTATCTCGATTAATGCTTTTTATAATCGTTTGAAACCGAAATCTAAATCGGATTTTCGATTAATTGCAAAGCCCTTTATAATAGTGGACCATTTTTATGCCTTTTTCTACCTCAATACTTATCCTCTCCCGCGCCCCCCCTGTGAACTCTGGCGCCCCCCTTAGGGGGGCGCGGACCCCAGGTTGGGAACCACTGTTCTAAATTATCTAAATAATATAATCACATATGAATAAGTACATTGCAGAGTGTGTACCTACATTAAAAGGTAAAAAATAGATGGTTCTTTAAATGTGGTCAAAATATGTACAGGAAGCTATTAATTGATGAATTTACAGAAATGTAAATGCTATCATATGCTATATCTCAGATAGTTTTTTCCTGCAAGTTTTTGTTAATAATGTTCAAAGGTTTAAATGGCAGTGCCTTCATTATGCCCAAAAATATCAGCTACTGTACCTCCTAGAGAAAATGAGCAAACTTTGTCCTCTGTTTCTGTGGCGACGTGCAGCAATGAGGAGAAGGTGTTGCTGAATCTGGACAATTATATATATTCAATAACCATTTATTCCTGTAAGTTAGACCAGACTGCAATTAAATAGACGGTGGAGTGTACTGAAATTCATGTCGAGCGAAAACCAAATCTCTTGATGTGCTTGGCTGGAGCTCAGAAAACAGCTTTCAAAACAACAACAACATGCTGAATACTGAACACCAACTCCTAAAGTGCTTTTTCTCTGGGTTTATTTCATGCATTATTTCTCCTTGCTTTGAGCTCTTAGTCCCCTATACAGCTGCAGGATCCAAGATGCCAAGATAATTACACCTGTATGAAAAACTTGGCTTCAGTAATTATCTCTCTCTCACTTACACACACACACACACACACACACACACACACACACACACACACACACACACACACACACACACACACACACACACACACACACACACACACACACACACACTCATAATTTGGCTTCTCTTTTTATCGCTCGGCTTGAAAACATCTCACTACAATCAAAGTAAATGAGAGTGTTCTGATGCTTTTTTTAATGCCGTGCGCCTTGTTTCAGGTCTGCACTCGCACATTTTATATATTTTTTTTCCTCCCGTTTCATCTTTTTTCGCTCATTTTACGAGAGGAGCCATGGCATTGTGTAGTATAGATGAGACCAGAGTGTGTGTTTGACAGAACTGGGTCAAAGCTCCTTCAGATTCCCACCAGTGTCTGAAGATGTGTAGTTTTTAAGCCAGACTCTGTGCAGAATTCATTTGTTTGCGAGTCTAGAGAAGTACAAACTACAAAGGGTCATTTTAGCTTCGCTGGTGCTGCCGCAGCATGTGGATAATTGATCTGCTTTATTATGAGTGTTTCCTGCCTCATTTAAAGCTTATATTCCATATCCTTTCCCTCCTGCGATTTGCTGTTTTTAACCACATTTCTCTCTCTCTCTCTCTCTCTCTCTCTCTCTCTCTCTCTCTCTCTCTCTCTCTGTGTGTCTTCCAATTAAAGATGAGCTTCTGCAGGTCCAAAAGGCAGATATGGACCAGTTCCTGTCCTCCATCTCTGAGTCCCAGCCTGACGTCACCGTGTCTTCTGAGGAAAGTGTTGAGGTTCCTGCTTTTGAAGGAAAGCCCTTCCGCCCCTTCCAGGTCAACTCTCTGGGCTCCCCCGCTGAACCAGAGGGTACGTTTCTTGTCTATATTTACACCGGTGAAGCTTGCGGTTTCTCTTCACAGTTTCTTAAAATGGCCCTGTTGCCGAGGCAGGTTTTGCGTCTGTCTCGTGTCACTGCTAAGTCTTTCTGGCTGGAAAAAAATTGTGGGTTTCACATAATCGAATTGTGTCAGGACAACATGAAGGAATTAAGTTCACTTATTAGTTTTTACAAATGTAAGTGTATTGAACATGAAACAATTAAGTTGTCCCAAAAAAAAAAAAAAAAAAAACTTAAGAATCGTGTTGTTTCAGCTCATTTTACATAAGGAGTTTAAACAAACAACAAATGCCATATTTTTGAGTGCTGGCTGGAAAAATTGACACAACCAAACCTGGTCTCCTATCCTGACCAACATGGTTTTCAGCTTGAGTTAAAAGGATAGATCACACAGAAGTAAAAAAAAAAGGTGTTTTATTAAGCCTCATGTCATTCCAGATATTTTTAAAATTACATTATTGGTTAAAATAACTTGTAAATTTTTCCAAATTTAAGTGGATTAAACATAAAACAGTTAAGCTGTCCCCCAAATAAACTCAAGAATTGTGTTGTTTCGGCTTATTTTAAATAAGTAGCTTGAGCAAACTACCTGGTCTCCCATCCAGGCCAACGTGGTTTTCAGCTTGAGTTAAAAGGATAGTTCACACAGAAGTTACATTAGGTATATTATGTTAATACAGAGCATTTTCATTACATTTTCCATTCAAATATTAAACAAATATTAAAATATTTTCATTAAAAGATTAACCAAAGTCTATTGAGTTTGGATTGTCACAAACATACTGGGTTCCACACATTGGACATTGGATTAAGGAGAAGAATAGGATCATGCAGAATATTTACTTGGTAAACAGCCAATATCTTAATAACAGTCAGGTAATTAGCCACTAGTAATAATGAGAATTGGTGCTTCAAATAAAGTATTACCAGACACATTTATACAGAAGTACCTTATTTGGAGGTGAAATTTCCAGCCAACATTACTGTAGGTCGTTCACACACATCAGCGTTATGCCTCTTTCTCTGTCTGGCTCTTGTTAAAGTGAGTTTTTGAGCCAGTACTAAGGGTCTGCTAGTAAAGCCGCTCAGGTGAAGCTCTTTGGCAACATGAGGCCTGTTCATGGAAATATTTTCTAAAGGGAAGCCCAAATTTTTCTGTTGGGCCGTAGGTTCCCGCTTATCTAAGCTCGCCTGAATCCCCGTTGGCATCGCCTTAAACACGACGGCATTTGAAGTTGAGCTAAACTCATAAAGCCTGAGGCTCTGGCATGAAAATGTCTCATCCACTGTCCTGCCTGGGCCTGCCAAGCCTTTAAGGAAAGGGCAAAATGTGCCAAATGAAGGCGCAATATACAAGAAGAGCAATGTAATAAACACATCGGAGCCCAGGAGGTCTTTCATTATGATGGGTTTTTTCTTCCCCCTGTTCTTTGGTTTGTTTTTCTTTATCATTCTGTCCCTGCGGGTTTCCCTTGTTCGCCCGCAGACACAGCTTGATAACCCTGACTGCTTCTCTTTTACTCACCTGTTTATTTTTTCTCTCTTTTCTTTCCCAATCTTTTCTTGTTTTGTCTTTTGCTCGTATGCAATGCCTAGGCGATCTCTCTGAACCCCCTCGTGCCTTCAAGAAAGGTGGGTCTTTGCTGCTTTTCTCGGTTTCTCTTTTTTTTCTCCTCAGCCTCCGGAAATGTTGTGTTTGCTGTTTTTTTTGTTTTTAATTTTTGCATCTAGGGCTGGGCAATGAATCCTATTTTCATTCTGATTAATTATTGATTTAATTTGGGGTATTACAAGATTGTCAGCTCGCCTTTTTTTTAATAAAAAGCTATTTTTTGTGACTTCTGAAAGTGCATTATGATCATATATTGTGATAAGGAAAATGACAAACTGACTTTGACAATAAATAATAATAAAAATCTATACTTAAATGGGGGGTATCAAAAGTCAGTTAATGGATTCAAACACATAAAATGGATTATACATCTAAAGAGTATACATAAAGGCTATTTTCTACATTTTGTATTTTTGTTTCGAAAAAAAAAACAATTATTGATATTTTGTAATGTCATTTATCATTATTAATATTATTATTATTGTTGTCATTAAAAATAACATTTTGCAAACCATCAATAAAAAATCATATTACATATTTTCATCCAGAGTATACCTCTAAATTGATATTATTGTTTTGAAAAAAAAATCTTATTATTAACAATAATATTAAATAACATTTTACAAACCATCATTAAAAATAATCATAATATTATGCATTTTTTTCTTCAAAGAGTATATATGCAAAGAGCATACCTAAACAGTATTTCCTACGTTTAAATTATTGTTTTGACATTGTGATGACAGTACATAATATTTTACTAGATATTTCTTTATTTACTTCTATACAACTTAAAGTGACATTTAAAAGCTTAACTAGGTTAATTAGGTGAAATAGGCATAACAAGGCGAAATAGTTTACAGAACAAACCGTTGTTATGCCTATCAAAAAATATAGCCTAAAGGGGCTAATAATTTTGACCTTAAAATAGTTTAAAAAAAAAACTGCTTTTATTCTAGCCAAAATAAAACCAATAAGACTTTCTCCAGAAGAAAAAAATGTTATCAGACATACTGTGAAAATGTTCTTGCTCTGTTAAACATAATTTGGGAAATATTTAAAAAAAAAATAAAAAAATCAAATGGGGACTAATAATTCAACTGTGGTGTGTGTGTGTGTGTGTAATATTATGATGATTTTATATTTATTGTTTGTAAAATGTTATTTATTATTATTTTATTATGATTATATATATATATATATATATATATATATATATATATAACTATTTATTCAATTGTTCATATATAAAATGTTTTAAAATATTGTTACAATATTATTTATTATTACAATTTTTTATATTTTTTTAAAGACTACTGCTACAATTCCTCCTACTACTTATAATAGTTGTTTTTGTATTTAGTTAATCAATTCTTATGGGTATTTTTACATTGTGTTACATTCTGTTTAATTAAAGATTAATCCAAAACTTTGCTCAGCCCTACTTGCATAGCCCACATCTTGACACATCTCCCATCTCTCCTCATATTTTTACTGTATTTCCACCCCATAGTTTTGCTCTGTCCGTCTCCTCAGCGCTGTTAGCCATCTCGTTCTTAATTTCCCTCTCAGTCACTCCCTCAGACAGAGAAACCAAACATCCCATCCCTCAATGTCTGGCCAGAAGAGCTTTGCCTAATGAAAAGTCCAGGCAGCTTGTTAAGCTAATTAGCTATTTGGATTGGAGAACGAATACAGTGTAAATGTGCTGTGTGCTGCTAAATCAGTTATGCCTGCTCACTACCTGCCTGTGTCAGGAAGACAAACAACCTGATTCAGACGCTGCTCTCTGTCGACAGATCTTTAGTGCTCATTTGGTGTTTATTGGGCTCCTCTCCTCTTGTCTGAGTTTGTTGATATAGTGGTTCTGTTGCAGGATATACAACCAGCTTTTTGCTTCCAGATTGTGTAATTGGAGCATCAACCTGTTTACCATTTAACCTTGTGATCCCACCTCCTAAGAATGCACCAGTAAACCTGCTCTTAGTGGCCCTTGGCCTTTGCTAATTAGTGCTCTCTCTATAATTTTTTATCTGAAATGTACTCTGATTTATATGTAATGCCTCAAGCAAGCAATTGATGCAGATTTATAGTACGTGCAGATAAGCGGTCAGAATTTGTGTAGCAAATTTTGTTTATGTAAATTATAAATAAATTTTCAAAACTACTATTAATACTACTACTGCTACTACTAATACTAATAATGACATTAATTACCATTTATGTGTTTACATGTAATCATTTGGCAGATGCTTCTATTCAAAGCGAATAACGAATTTTAATTTAAGAAGAGAGATTGTATATTTACAATGTCAGATTAAGTTTTAAAGAAAAATATAATAGAAATCTATATAATAGGTATTTAAAAAAATTAAATCAGTGATGTTTATGTAACTGTATATAAAGCCAGCAGAAAATGTGTAATTGGAGCATCAACCTGTTTACCGTTTAACCTTGTGATCCCACTTCCTAAGAATGCACTAGTAAACCTGCTCTAAATTATTAGTGGCGTTTGGCCTTCGCTAATTAGTGCGCTTTCTAATTTCTGTGATTTATATATAATGCATCAAGCAAGCTAACGATGCAGATTTACAGTACGTGCAAATATACGGTCAGAATTGTTATAGCCAATTTTGCATATGTAAAATATAAATAAATTAGTTTAGGCTTGAAATTTAATTGATGCTTCAGTTTTTTGGATATTTAAATATTATCAAAACTACTACCACTAATAATAATAACATTAATTACTATTAATATGTTTATATGTAATCACTTGCAAATGCTTTTATCCAGAGCGACTTACGAATTTTCATTAAGAAAAAGAGAGATTTTTTTTTGTTGCAATGTCAGATTAAGTTTTAAAATAAAATTAAATCAGTATATAAAGCAAGTAGAATACAGAACAAATCAAAGGATGCTTTTTTAAAAGACAGAAAATAAATGATCATATTGAGTAAAACATCAGAAAGTGATTTTTTTTAAAGAAATAATTTAATTGTAAATATTGTACTTAATAAATATTGAACTTGATTGTTATTATTGTTGTTGTTTTTGTTGTTGTTATTATTAATACTATTATTTTTTGTTATTATTATTATTATTATTATTGTTTTTATTGTTGTTATATTATTATTATTATTATTTTTTTTATTATTAGTGCTGGGCAAAGATTAATCATGATTTATCGTATCCAATAAATAAAAGTTTGCTTTGACATAATAAACACACATGTAGTGTATATATTTATTTTGTCTATGTGATACACGAATATAAAAACAAAACTATGCAAAAACTGTTGTTACATAAATATTTAAATTTATATATAATTTGTATCATAACAATATATATTTATATCAAAATATAATTAAATCTTTTCTCAGATATATGCATGCACATGTTCATATATGCATAATATAACATAATAATAATTAACAACAACAACAACAACAACAATAATAATAATAATAATAATAATATGCATTTACTTGAATTGAACTGAAGTAATACAGTACAGGGCAGGCACCCATATTATATCAAACTAATTTTTATTTAGGATTTAAAAAAATTATGATTAATCTTTGCCCAGTGCTTATTTTTGTTATAATAATAATAATAATAATAATAATAATTATAATAATAATAATTATTATTATTATTACTTTTATTATTATTATTATTACTTTTATTAAGCTCATGTCAGAAGATCACAGTGAAGCATACAGCACATCAGATTTTATTTTCATGTAATAACACGGCTCTTTTTTAAAAGCTTAATCTGTGTGCTAAACCATTTCACATTCTCAGGCATTTTAAAATCATTTTAAAGAAACATTAAAGGGCAGTGCTCATGAGTAACAGCGTTTAAAAACTCATCAACATACATTGTACTATATCATTTTTACAGTTGTTGAGTGTTTTTGCCGCAAACATGACCGATGCCTGAAATCATGCAGGTAGTTGATGAAAGGTGCCCGAATACTTTAGAATCCATGATTGGGGGATTTTTGCACTGATTAAAATTCTGAATGAGCCCTTTTTTTTTTACTTTTGTTGTTGTTGTGTCATCTTATATGTAAAGTCTGATTGTCCTGGTAATATTCTGTTATGAAGCTGCAGAGTTGATTGTAGGGTTTCTACTGTGTGTTTTAGTGTTTGCTAGTGTTTCAGTCATGTGTGGTGAAGCTTTAAGCGCTGCTCTGTAGACCTTGTGACTGCCGCTGGATTTATAGTTAATCTTTTAGTGCTGCTGACCTGCTGCTTTGACGGTCAAACAATGAGTGTAGGTGGAACGCATTGTTGTCCGCTCCACCAATCAGATTTCCGATGGGCTGTTATGCAACATGGGTTCATTTTAGCCAGGTGCCTTTGAATGTTTTGATCTGTTATGGTACAGCAGATACATGCTTTTTTTGTATTGTGATTTGTTCTGTATCCTTTAGATTTGGGGGATTTTCAAAACACATTTACATTTTTTCCCCCAGTTTGCTAAAAAGGAGATCTATAAAACATTTTTGAAATGTAAAAGATTTTTTTATGAGACATTTATAGAAATAAAAAATGTAAAAAATTATATATTTTACTCAAACCCATACCAAGTAAATACAGTAGATCCAGAGAAACTGAGAATCCAGTGGTCTTTTTAATTTGTTTTATTAAATTTTAAGTACTTATAAATGTCATTTTACTCATTGCAGAAATTCAAGCATTTTCCATTGAGTTTCCTTAAAATGGAGGGACATACAGCAATGTATAATTAACAGTAAACTGAATTCATTATTACATAGCCCCCCTAAAGAGTTACTATTTTAAAAATTGATCGCACCGCGTGTGTGAGGAACAGCTGATGGTGGCCATATAGCAAAGGCAAACAGCAGAGAGTTGCGAGCACAAAACACATTGAAATCAGTAAAGGAAGAAGCACGCATCACATTTTCAACGTGGTTTTGGACACAATATGTGAACAGCCTTATACAGATGTAACCTGAGGGATACAGTACAAGCACTGATCTGTAATTTTTCATTCATTACAAGCCGGGGGGAGTGATTACAAATTACAAGACACAATTAAATACATATTTTGCAAACTACACAAAATGAGCCAACCATTTTAATCACATTGACATGTTATGATCTGGAGGAAGAAGAAACTGGTCCATGTGAACTGTAACAGTTACTGACAAAGTCCCTGTCAAAGCCTGACAAAGTCCCATTCATAATAGTCTCTGCTGCTTTTTCCTTTAATAGCAAACAAATCCTGTGAATGGCTGATGAATTCCGCGATGCAGTGGAGGTTATTGTATCAAAAATCTGAAAAATTACAGGAATAAACACAGCACATAAGTTGGCTATATGTGGGGTTGTGAATATTTCCCACAGCCGATCTTCATCTGTCAGTGATCGTCATGTCTGTGTCATGATCAGCCACGCTCCACTAGTGTCTGAAGGGAAAGATGCGTTTGTGTATTACTGGATCCGGCACTACATATTTGGCAATGTATTGTTCCAACAATGATGCACTAAAGGGCCATGAAACCCCCTCGTTTCAGCAGGGTGTTTTCACACCTCTACTTTGGAAAAAGTCAGAAAAGTGGGCGTGTCCAGCTCTGTTTAGGGGGGAGTGTCGGAGGAACTAAAGTGGGATGGTGTGGGAGTGTCTATTTGTGCACGCGCGAGTTTCAGTCAAAATACTCACACACACGGGAGAAAGTGATGGTGTTTAACCTACATGGACATCTGTAGTCGAATTATTTGCCAAATTATTAAATGTTGGACTTTAACTGCAGTTTGGCTCTTTCATTCAGGGAATTCATTCATGCCCCTCGCGACAAACGCGACATTTGATTCGAGGATCTGCTCTAAGTGTGTATTTTTCATGCAATGTTTGATACCGCACGGCGAATGAGAGAAAAAAAAACTCTGCATTTCCCGGAAAATTAGATGCACACGGCAGGTAGCGTCAGAAAGCCGCGTGTGTTATTCCGGTCACAAAATGCGGTGCTATGTTTGCACTCAGTGCAATAGTTAACTTAATTCGATACGAACAAACTGAATAAACAAAGAGCACTGGTCGCTCACTTACCAAATCTGTAGAGACAGGACAATCACCAGCAACTAGAGCCGCGTCTTTATGAAGAGAAGACTAACGTTACAAGCGAATCCGGATTTCAGCGTTTGCAGATGAGAACAGCTCTCAGGTAAACAATGTTCCTCCTTAGACACGTAAGTTATTGTTGTCGAGCGTCGCGTACACTGTTAATCCACACGTGATCCAGCTGAGCTCTCACAGAGAGAAAATGAAAACGAAACTTAATGGCAGCAAACTATAAAAGCAACACTTCACGCTTGTTTTGCCAACACAACGTGGCGTCCCTGTGGCGTAAACGCGGTGACACTAATGAATATTAATGAAGTTGCACAATAGAGCGCGCTGATTGGTTTGAACCAAGCCTTACTCATGCATTAATGCATCACACTGTAAGACGTAATAAGACACACTCTGGCACAGACGTCCAGTCTGCACGCTGGAATACATGCTATTATGTCATGACTGTGACGCAGCTTCAAAAATTCGTTTCAAACAGGAAGTACGAATTTGCTTGAAATAACGCAAAAACAACCAATTTACACTTTTTAGTGAAATATAGGTGTCCTAATAGTGTTTTTAGCAGTGTGGGACACATATACGACTGTCAACAGCTCAAAAAATGTGTTTTGGTGTTTCGTGACCCTTTAAGGCAGGGGTGTCAAACTCCATTCCTGGAGGGCCGAAGCCCTGCACAGTTTAGTTCCAACCCTGCTCCAACACACTTACCTGTAGGTTTCAAACAAGCCTGAAGGACTCAATTAGTTTGATCAGGTGTGTTTAATTAGGGTTGGAACTAAACTGTGCAGAGCTGCGGCCCTTTTGGTTTGACACCTGTGCATTAAGGCAAAAGATCCGAACCCAACATGATTCGTTTATTCGGCTATTTCGTTAAAGAATCAATAGTATTAATAACAGCGCACTTTCAGATTTAAACCTCATCTGGATGTTTTCATTCACTTCTGTGTTACACACGGTATGGAAGGTCATTTTTAAAATACATATTATGGGGCTCTTTAATGTAAAATAAAGAAAATTGCTTTAGTGTGATCACGAAGATTTCATTATTTTAGTTGTTTATTGTGTCAGACATTTTAAACAGAGTTGACAATAACAGTGTTAACATTTTCCGCCATTTTGTGCTTCAGTTCAAGATGCTAACCTCAAACCAGAAGCACAATTTTTATCATGTTATTGTTTTAAAAAGTTGAATGAGAAATTCACTAAAATATCTCAATAACAGAGTTTACAAATAATTAAACTAATTGCAGATTATCCTGATATTTTATACAAGTTAACGAGAGAAGAATACTGACATACCTCAACACTTCCAGTTTCCCGCCTAAAAAAACCTGACAGTCTATGCTTTACAGGTTGTTGAACATCTTTATAATCAATATAGTTGACCAGAACGAACTAGGAACAAAAAATGCTGAAAATTAGACTTAATTTCAAGATAGTTGAAGCTGAATGTATGATTAATGAGGCGAAGACTGTCAAAGATACATATAGAGAGAGGCTTTAAGTTACTACACACTGAACATTTGACATAAATTGTGTATTAAAGGGATAGTTGAATCAAAAATGAACTTTTGTGAAGTTACTCTCATTTTAATTTAGTTTTTCAGTAGAGCACTAGTTTTTGCCCCACCGTTGAACTTTCTGCCATGTACCATAGGATTTTCTGGCTTTTCCGGTTGTCAGTGTTATACAGCAGGGGGCGCTATTATGCTCCAATGATAATAAGTGAGTCTCATGAAGCAAAGCGATCGATTTATACAAGAAACACAGCATTATTCATAACATCATAACCGTTTAATGAGTGTGAGAGCAGACTTATTGTTGCATAATAATGACATGAGTTGCACAAACTCGCATAGTGTTTGTTTACAGCGGAGAGAGGACAGGTATGGTGTGTTGTGGGTGAATGGTTAAAGGGATATTTCACCCAACAAATAAAAATTTGTTATCATTTACTCACTCTTTACTTATTTTAAACCTGTTTTGAGTTTATTTCTTCTGTTGAACACAAAATAATATATCAATAAAGCTCAATACCGTTGACTGCCATAGAAGCCTATTTGTTTTTCCTTCTATGGAAGTCAATGGTTTCCAGATTTCTTCAAAATGTCTTCTTTTGTGTTCAGCAGAACAAAGTAACTTATAAAGTAGTAAATTGTATAAATATTAGTAAATGTACTAGTGTAAACAGTGAGCAAATTTTTATTTTTGGTTGAACTATATCTTTAAATGGTGGTAATCCTGGTTCCTGTAATGTGTAAAGGTTATTGTACAAAAGAAAACATTGATATGAAATAGTGCACTTGAAGTACACTTTAGGTATGCTTGAAATTATCTTTGATTTCACAGTGTTATTATAAAAACTGCTGCTTTTTAATATAACATTTCAGGTTTTTCACAGGGTGTAATTAATAGCCAGATAGTCTTTTAATAATCGATTTGTGCACAAATAATATTAGTAATAAATAATATCAATGCTGTTTTTCAAAAAACCAAAAGTCAAAGATCTGTAAAATATTACAATATCATTATCAGAATGAAAACGGAACACATAGCAATGTGAAAACATGTTTCCTCTGGAATACATGAATAACCGTTCACCGCATGCAGATGATTAGTTGACCTGATTTCTAGTTCTGGTACAGGATTACCATTTTGTACCATCCTTTAATTTTTTTTACAAAGAAATATGTCAGGTATTGTAACTCAAATAGTGTATGACTGCAGTCTTGTGGTAGTTTTAAATGGTTTAAGATGTAGTAGGGCAATTATATACATATATTTATAGAGCTGTGACTGGAAACAAGTGCTCACAGGATTTCCCAAGGCTCTAATTCTACCAGGAAGAGACCTTTTGACCAAAGCAGATCACAGCTCTTGCTTTTAGCTGCTGAGCTTGTCTGGACTGATCCAGAAATACTTTTTTCTACATCTACACTTTATTAATAAGTGCATGACTAATGAATGATCTGGAGTCGCCCTCTACTGGCTGTACGGTGGGACAGCAGAAATTAAAGCGGCTGCAGGTTTCTGGTCATGATTCGGCTTTTGGTGTTGTTACAGTTTATCGAAGTGCAAGTTTGTAGTTGGTCTTCCTATCTCTGATTGGCTGTTTTCTCTGCAGGCTCTGGCATGAACAGTCTGGATGGTCTGATTGGAGCAGAGGAAAAAGTCATCAACAGCAAGAACAAGATCAACGAAAATGTGGTGAGACTTCCAGCCTGCCTACAATGCCACACACACACACACGCAAATTCAGCAGCATCTGCTAACAATAGCTCTTATACAGTATATGAAATCACGCAAACTAAAAACGACAACAAAAAAAGGCAGCGCAGAATTTTTTAATAACAAATTTGAGAAAATCTAACATTTCCTTCGGGATTCACCTACTGTAGATAAACATTATAGGATTCAAACAACCTGCTCTGTAAATAATTAATATAACTATGATCTCATAGTTATATCTGTGCAATGTGAATCATTTGCAAGGCAGCACTAGATTTTCTTTCACCTTGTTTAAGTTTGCCATAATTTGTTGCCAAATATGATATTTAAATCCATTTTTAAAGCAGAAAAGTGATATATTTGGATAAAAAGTCATAGATGCGTTCACTTTATTCATACTGTATACAGTTTAAGACAAAATCATTAGTCCTTCTATAAAATTGTTATTATTTTTTAATTATAAACTCACCGGCCACTTTATTAGGTACACCTGTCCCACTGCTCTATAACGCACATTGCTAACCAGTCAATCACATGGCAGCAACTCAATGCATATGCACAAGACGATCTGCTGCAGTTCAAACCGAGCATCAGAATGGGTAGGAAAGGTGACTTAAGTGACTTTGAACATGGCATGGTTGTTGGTGGCAAATGGGCTGGTCTGAGTATTTCAGAAACTGCTAATCTACTGGGATTTTCGCACACAACCATCTCTAGGGTTTACAGAGAAAAAGAGAAGAAGATATGCAGTGAGCGGCAGTTCTGTTTGCGCAAATGTCTTGTTGATGCCAGAGGTCAGAGGAGAATGGCAACAGTAACTCAAATAACCACTCGATATAACCGAGGTCTGCAGAAGAACACACAACACGTCCAACCTTGAAGCGGATGGGCTACAGCAGCAGAAGACCACACCAGATGTCACTCCTGTCTGCTAAGAACAGGAAACTGAGACTACAATTCACACAGGTTCACCAAAATTGGAGAATAGAAGATTGGAAAACGTTGCCTAGTTTGATGACTCTCGATTTCTGCTGCCACATTCGAATGGTATTTTCAGAAATTGGCATCAACAACATGAAAGCATGGATCCATTCTGGCTTTTATCAACAGTTCAGGCAGGTGATGGTGGTTTAATAGAGTAGGGAATATTTTCTTGGCACACTTTGAGCCCTTAAGTACCAATTAAGCATTGCGTCTACTCTACAACCTACCTGAGTATTGTTGCTGACCATGTCCATCCCTTTCTGATGGCTACTTTCAGCAGAATAACACACCATGTCATAAAGCGAGAATCATCACAGACGGGTTTTTTGAACAGGACAATAAATTCACTGCACTCAAATGGCCTCCACAGTCACCAGATCTCAATCCAATAGAGTACCTTTGGGATGTAGTGGAAGGGGAGAGTTACATAATAGATGCGCAGCCGACAAATCTGCCGCAACTGTGTGATGCTATCATGTCAATATGGAGCAAAACCTCTGAGGAATGTTTTAGCTCCTTGTTGAATCTATGCCATGAAGGATTAAGACAGGTCTGAAGGCAAAAGGCGGAGCAACCTGATAACAGTAAGGTGTACCTAATAAAGTGGCTGGTGAGTGTAGAATCATTAAGGGATGTTTAACAGGGAACACATTTGAACACATTCATAATAGTTTAATAACTAATTTATTTTTGTCTTTGTTAAGCTGACGGTACATGATATTTTACTAGTTATTTTGCAGGAAAGTAGCATTCAGCTTAACCTGGCGTAATTAGATTAACTAGGCAAGTCAATAAAAAACATTGGTTTGTTCTGTAGCCAATTAAGGAAAAAAATCTTAAGGGGGCTAATAATGTTGACCTTAGCAGTTTTAAATATTTTAAAAAAAAGTTTATTCCAGCCAAATTCAAAGCATTAAGACTTTATCCAGCAGAAAATTATTATCGAAGACTGTGAAAAATGTCGTTGCTCTGTTAAACATCAATAAGGAAATACAAGAAAAATAATTTGTAAAGTCACAGAAGATAATAATGTTAGGGTTAATAATTTTGTCTTCAGCTGTATATATGAAAACATTTTTGGATTTTAAGTCATGTAATTTTAGATTTAATGTTTAAATGTTTATTTAATTTTAGCCACTTTACAATAGATAGTCTAATATTGCAAAATGAACTTGTACAGTTTAATTATGAGACAGCAGCTCTGATAATGCCACAGAACTGCTTTTTAAAAACAACTTTTGTTTTCTTTCACCCATTTTGCAGTCTAAAATTAAGGCTTTAGAGCCTAAAGCCTCAATTTTAGACTGCAAAATTTAAATCATGTACTGTATGTCCAGCAACAACATGTCTTGTAATGTTAGTAGCTGTCTTTTGTCGCTATAGAAAAGCACAAGTGTGAACAGAGCCTTTAAATCGATTTGGTTGATCTCCTGATCCATGTTTAGAGATTAGACTGACAAGACTTTCAAACAGAAATGCCACAAATGTAAATTCAGTATAAATTTCCAGAAATTTTCTTTTAGTCTATACATCAGAAAAATCTATATCCTCCGCTGAAGCCTTTAATAGCTAAAACATCCTTACCCAAGCAGTTCTTTTGCTGCCTTGCAATATCTGCTTCCAGAAATACAGATCTGGTTTATTTCAGGCTCATCTCATGCATATCCCAGCATTCACTGCATGCCACCTTCACATATTTCCTAGTCACATTCCAGTGTCCCTCTAATGGTGGTTGCGATGAGCTGTACTGGACACTAGCAGTGCATGATCTCTGAAGAATGTGACTCGTGTGTTTGCCTTGCACAGTGTTTGTGCATGTTTGTCTTCATGAAATCACATAGAGGAGCTTTGAGAGGTTTATGATCATCTACTGGTGTGTTCGCTAATAAAAGGTTTAGTTTGATTGGAACAAATGCGGTTCATTGGAGTTAGTGTGAAAACGGTCATGTGAACTCTGATGAACCTACAAGTGGACCGTCTCAGTTGACTTTAGGCCATGCCCACACTAATATGTTTTTGTTTAAAAACGTATATTTTTCTCTCAGTTTCAGCATTCTGTTCACACTAAAGGCTGTTTTACACTTCTGCTTCGAGTGATCACTGTGTAATTTTTTGTTTTGTGAGATTGGGATGCATAGACTAAAACCCATCAGGGCTCAAAATTAACCTTTTTGCTTGGTAGCACCGGTGCTCCTAACTTTAAAAATGTAGGCGCATCAGCCAAAATTTAGTCACACCCACCAATTATAAGCACCGTTATTACAAGTTTTATACAAACATATTTATTGCATTTGAAATCAGTAATCAAACTAACAAGCAAATATATATATATATATATATATATATATATGCAAGCGTGAGGAAAATATGTCTCAACGAAATCCCGTTATCACAAGAAAATAGATTTTAATAACATAACTGAGTGACTAAAAGATACACGGAGCGCTCACCGGCCCTGCACGCACTTGACATGAATGAATCTGTTAACGGTATAACTGTGCTGTTTTGACGGGTGCTGTCTGATATTGCACTGATGCTTTTGACATATACTGTACTTTATTATATGCATACGTTATGTTTATAGCAATACCGGTCTTTTTATGAGTAGCCATGTTAGTTTACTCAGTGCAAGCCCGTTTGCGATGGTGTACGTGTTGTTAAATTTGACATATAGCTGCCCCTTGCACGGCGGACAGCATCTGGCGATTATATGAAGGATTAAACAGAAGCTCCCGTGCTAGATGTGGCAAACAGTTACCTGAAAATTCCATCCCACAGACTTTTCATAGCGGACTTGAAGCCAACGGAAGTCTTTTATCCACTTTTCGAAAAGTGTAGATGGTGGATTAACATTCAGCACATGATCACTAGTAAGATGCGTCATTATATGTAACTTTAGATGCGATGGTTTCCAAAACATAATCTGTCAGTGTTATCTTCACTCTCATCTTCAGCGCTTTATAATTTTTCGCGGTAGTAGCTCTCTCTGTCATCCCAAGCCAGAAGGCATTGACTGAGTGATTGACAGCTGATATTTCAGTGCTAGAGCAGTGGCGGGCCAATTAGAAGAGCGCAAAGGCGGGGCAAGCATTACGGACTTGGCTTTGTTTACTGCAGCAAGTTGACATGACAACTGATTTAAACTATTCCTGAGCGCTGCGTTTCGCGTTTCAAGTACAAAGATGCATTCTGCGTGAATGTCTCCCAAATCCACGCATGTGGTGAACACTTTATAGTAAAAACTGGTCGCACACAACAATTTTAAGCATTCGCACAAATGCTCCCAAATATATTTTGAGGTCGCATAGATAAAATTTCGGGAGCATGTGCGACCAAAATGGTCGCAATTTCGAGCCCTGCTTATTGTAATACCAGTTGTAAACAGGACCTAAATCCTCCAGAAAGTTGAATGGTTACACTGCCAGTGTGAACAGTCCAACCAGTGCTAATGTATCTTTTTTTTATCTTGACCAAATGAACCTCAAAAAAATGTACAAGTGTGAACACACCATGAGCAATATTAAAGGAATAGTCTACACAAAAATGTATTTTATGCTTATTTATTTGCGTTGATCTTGTTCCAACTCTGTATGACTGACTTTTTTGTGGAACAAGATATTTTGAAGATTGTCAGAAACTGAGCCATTTTTGATTCTATTGACTTTCACCGTATTGGCACAAATACAATGGAAGTCAATGGGAAACCATTGGCTCGGTTGCAATGATATTTTAAAGAAAATCCTCTTTTGTGTTCTATAGAAGTGAGTAAACTATGTAAAGAATTGTGTTGTTTGAGTGGAAATATCTCTTTAACTCTACTCTGATTGCTTCTCACTTGAATGTTTTTCAAAAATGGTCTTTTTGTGTTTGATGGCAAAATTACTAAATGAACATGAATGTTTACAGTAGCTCTGCACTAAACGCAACCAGTCATGTCATTTAACAAGGACATCATAACCACATCAGACCGTCTAAATTATCTTGGATTTGCTCACAGTATTGAATTCTCATTTATTACAACAAAACCAGCACCACAACCTCCACAGACAATGTCTTACTACAGCATTTTAACATTTTGTCCCTGTAAATCTTGGTTTATATATATATATATATATATATATATATATAATATTATTCGACATTACCTTAGACTGCACACACCACATTCTCTTACTCACACACACACACACACACACACACACACATACACACACACTGAGTCTTCAGTAACTGAGCCTGCCCCTGTCTGTGTTGACAGGTGATTGATGAGACTCTGGATGTTAAAGAAGTGATTTTGAATGGTGTTGATCCTCTGGTAAGTACAGCGCCCTCCTGTGCCCAACACATGGTACTGTCAAACACTGCAGTCTCCCATTCTGGCCTGTAAATGTATTTGCGGAGTATTCTGTACTCTCTGTGAGCAAATGACAGTTTTACATCATTCATGGCCTTATATTGTTTCTCCACGCGTTTCCACAGCACGTGTGCATGTTTTTGATGCGATCGCATGGGCATGTCAGCGGACACGGTTGATCATTTGTCATCATTAGATTCTCACACAAATGGGATTGAACGCTTAACATTTGTGTGCTAAATTGCCAGTCTGTGCACATTCAGTCCATTTAGCACTTCACAAAGCAGATCAATACACACCCAACACATTCATTCAAGGTAAAGCTCAATTTTGATCTTAACTGAAGACGCCACTTTTCCTTTAAATAGGCAAATTTTACACGTCCATATAGTTAGAGTTCACTTTTACCATTTAATAATCCATTCAGATGATTTCCAGGTCTGGCGGGACGACTTTTAGCTTAGCTTAGCATAAGTCAATGAATCGGATTAGACCATTAGCATCTCGCTTAAAAATGATGAGTTTTTTGATAATTTTCTTTTTTAAAGCTTGACTTTTCTGTCGTTATATGATGTTTTAAGACTGATGGGAAATAAAATGTTGCTATTTTCTATGCTGATATAGGAACTATGCTCTTATAATTATCAAGGAACTTAACTGTAGTACCATGGCTGCAGCGATGAAGTGATATTACATAGCTATGTGAAATTTTCAGGTGCTGCGTAAATATCGAATAATACCTCTTAAAATTCTCTGGATATAAATATTTATAATTATATATTTGAATAAAACAGTTTTTGTTTTTATTTTGTAAACTGCTGATGACGTTTCTTCCAAATATAATATTCAGAATTGGTCCTTTTTTTTGTGCATAAATTGATATTTGTTGAGATGTTATACTTTTAGATGTCATTTTCATTTCAAGAAATCAATATTTGATGAAATTGCTCTGATTTTCAATCACTAAAACATTTGTTATATTGATAAATTGTAATATACTGAAGAATAATTCTCTGTTTTTATTTCAAATTTGAAAGAATCGTCAGCATATGTTTATATACAGTGCTCAGCATATTTGAGAACACATCTTACAAATCTCTTTTAATTTAATATTTTTTTACAGGATTTCTGTTTACAATAATATACACTACCTGACAAAAGTCTTGTCGTCATTTCCAGTTGCAAGAGCCACAAATAATAACTTGACTTCTTGTTGATCATTTAGAAAAGTGGCAGAAGGTTGATTTTTCAGATGAATCATCTCAATCATCACAAATACTCAAGAGGATTTATTGGAACCTGCATGGACCCAAGATTCTCACAGAAATCAGTCAAGTTTAGTGAAGGAAAAATCATGGTTTGGGGTTACATTCAGTGTGGGGGCGTGTGAGAGATCTGCAGAGTAGATTGCAACTTCAACAGCCTGAGGTATCAAGACATTTGTGCTGCCCATTACATTACAAACCAAGTTAGAGGGCAAATTCTTCAGCAGGATAGCGCTCCTCATACTTCAGCCTCTACATAAAAGTTCCTGAAAGCAAAGAAGGTCAAGGTGTTCCAGGATTGGCCAGCCCAGTCATCAGGCATAAACATTATTGAGCATGTCTGGGGTAAGATGATGGAGGAGGCATTGAAGAAGAATCCAAAGAATCTTGATGAACTCTGGGAGTCCTGCAAGAAAGCTTTTATTGCCATTCCAGATGACTTTATTAATCAGTGTATTTGAGTCATTGCAGAGATGTATGGATGCAGTCCTCCAAGCTCATGGGAGTCATGCACAATATTAATTCCTTTTTCCACTGCAGCATGACTTTATATTCTATACTGGACATTATTTACGTTAAGTGAAAAGACTTTTGTCTAAGCAGAGTGAGACTTTACTGTCCTAATTAAATAATTAAAAATCAAGGCATGATCAGATTTTATTTTAATAAAGTGAGCGTAATCTAGAAACCTTTGCCTTTCATATAAGACACTTCTGCATCCAAATGATCGACTAGAAGTCAAGTTATTATTTGTTGTTCCTAAAACTTGTAGAGGAGACAATACTTTTTGTCAGGTGGTGTATTTGTGCTTATACATTAGATTAGTCAGTACTGAAGCCACATCTGGAGCTAATCTAACACAATAACTTGCGATAACAGTCCAAAAATGTGTAGCCCAAGTTTTTATGTTAGAGAAATATATAAAAAATAATAATAAATAAAATAAATCAAGAATTTTTTTTTAATTTAGTAGGTTTTGTTTTTGCAATATTTTGCACAAATTTAAATTATCTTTCAATTTCTAATGATATTTGGTAACTAAAATATTATTTTCATAAATATATCTGTTTATTAAATATGTTTTGTTGAAATGCTCCAAAATATATGACCTATATACAGTGAGAAATGGATAAAAATATTCATTTTCCAAATGGGGTGTACTTAATTAGGCTGAGCACTGTATGTACTAATATTTCAGTCAAACCCAAGAATAAATCCACTCATAAATCCAATCAAACTTCATTTTATTTTCATAGATGTGTCTCTAAAAGTATAAAGATATTCAAGTTAATCAATTATACTTAAAAATCAGTTGTTTTTATTGATCAAATGAGCTGGCGATTCCCCTGTTATTCTGGTCTGGTTGAACGTTTTCTCTCTCTTTCTGCTGCAGACTCATTCAGTTCTCCTTTGCTCCCAGTTCATCATGTAGCCATGGCAACTCTATTGTTAGCTCACTGTACGTTAGTTACAGTGTGAATCCGCAGCATCAGAAGCTCTAAAAGACGTGCGTTCAGCGTGTTTGTCTGGGCTCTTTGTGCTTTGGGAGTGTAAATGTGCTTGTGTTTTATTTTTCCTCCTGCAGTTCAGCCGTGGCTCGGAGCAGGAGTCATTCCGCCCTCTGGTGGACGATTTCAGCTTCGGCAGCAGTGCTCTGATCGGCCTGCTGGTGATCGCTGTAGCCATCGCCACCGTCATCGTCATCAGTCTGGTGCTGCTGAGGAAGAGGCAGTACGGCACCATCAGTCACGGCATCGTGGAGGTGAGAGAAACACAGCCCATCATTCACTGCTAATGCTTTCAGAGCAACCTTGAGGAGAAAAACAACACGGCAAAAACTAATTCCCTCAGTCTCTGTGAAGGATAACGTGCAAAGAGAAGTCTTGTCCTTTAACCCTAGTGCACCGTTTAAACTGACTACCCTTTCGTTGTGTTCGGGGCTGTTTTTGCCCCATTGACTTTCATTATAATCACATTTTCTGATCACAAAGGCATGACATAATGAAGCATTCTTGAATGTTGGTGGTTTTCCCTGTTGGTAAGAGGTCAAAGGTCTTCACGCGAACACAGCTGCTGAGCTTGTGCATCCAGGTTAATCATGAACAACTCGCGCTAGTTGCACTATTGCGGTCTGATTATGTTTCAGTCAAGGTTTATATGCATCAAATACATAACATCTGTGCCAAACATCTCAACTGACGAGCATATTAACAATAATACAACCGTATAGCCGAAGTAAATGTATGCATGTATGTTTGAGGTGCAGTCTGCCGAGGTGTGCGATGTGGCGAAAGTATTAATCAGCCTTAAGATGTTTTTTTTTTTTTTTTCCTGTTGTCCAATCATGCATCTAACCTGTCTTCAGTACTGTTCAATTTGAATACATTTATTCAGCATATTTATTTTATATAGGTGTAGGCTATACAGTGCATTAACTGCAGAGCTCCTCTATTAAAAAAAAAAAAAAAAGTTCTGAAAGAGATCAAGCCTCAGCCAGGTAATGAATAGTAAGCAAAAGTAACTCAAAAGTAAAGCAATGCATTACTTACTATAAAAAAGTAACTAAGTAAAACAATTAGCTACTTTTTTGGGGAGTAACTTAATATTGTAATGCATTACTTTCCAAAGTAACTTTCCCCAACACTGCTGACAATAATGATAAGAAACATTTCTTGAGCAGAAAATCAGCCTAATCAACTCTGCTTTATCTTCACAGGAGTAAATTACCTTTATATATATATATATATATATATATATATATATATATATATATATATATATATATATATATATATGTATATATATGTATGTATGTATGTATGTATGTATGTATGTATATGTGTGTATATGTATATATATGTATGTATGTATATGTGTGTATATATGTGTATACCTGTATATATATGTATGTCTATATATGTGTATGTATGTGTATATATACATGTATGTATGTATATTTATATATGTATATATATATGTATGTATATGTATGTGAATATATATATATATATATATATATATATATATATATATATATATATATATTAGACAGCACATTTCACACATGAGTATAATAGTTCAGAATATTCATGTTTGTACTATATATTAGTAATAATGAATTAATCTTTCTTTTAAAACCATTTAAGGGGGTCATTTTAAATAACTGATCATGCTTTTGATGTTAAACCTTCTTTTGCTTTTCAGGTTGATCCCATGCTCACTCCAGAAGAACGTCACCTGAGCAAGATGCAGAACCACGGCTATGAAAACCCCACTTACAAATACCTGGAGCAGATGCAGATTTAGCCATCATGCGGCGCTGTGGAGCTGAGAGGGGTGAACATACTACTGACCAATATAAAACTGCTCTCAAATCATTTCATGCATTTGAAATGCATATCCTGGTTCATTTAAAGAAAAAAAAACTACAACAACACAATGGGTTATTAATACTACTACTTCTAATACTGCTACTGTTGTACCATGGAGCGCAATTTTTAGGCTCTTGTAACTTTTTATTTTCGTTAAAAAGCAACGGTTTTAAATCAGGAGAACGTGATTCTGCAAATTGATTTTGGAATTGGAGCGTATTATTATTTTAATATGGTTTTAAATGTTCATTTGATAACGTTTGATTTTAGTATATAGAGGTACAGCAAAGCAAAGGCGAAACAATCAATATATAAAGACACACAGCAGTTTGTCTACACCATCGCTGGCCGCCGGATATACTTCTTTTAAATAGATCGCTTGTATATGAAGGTTATTTGTAACAACTTAAATGTATAGTGAATCAGAAAATATGAACAAGAAATCATTAATTCATTTACTTTGTAATTATTAAAGACACACGATATACATAAATAGAGAAAGTAGATGGTCAATTTAATTCATAGTCATATTCATGATTTTTACGATATATATCTATATATTTTTTTTCTCTCCAGAGCTTAAATCTTGGCTGGGTTACAGGTTTAAACTTTTGAGATTTAAAGGACGGATTTTTTTTTTTTTTACGGTCCAAACATCTGATACCGTCGCCTGTGTAAGATACGAAGAACGGTTCCAACAGAACGGCGTGACAGCCGGCCAGATATTTTGGCCGATTGCGAATGTAGAGGTGCCCGATTTTCGTAACATTACGTCATGTGTTGTTATCTTTTGGTTATGGTGTCATATAGTTGGACCAATAAATGGCGCGGCCCCTGCGAATGGTTATTGTGCATTGGTTTGAAGCAGCGAGCGGGTCAGGGGCCTCCAGTCTCCCATATCACGCGAAAATATTGTTTTACTCTGATTCTGAATGTTGTTTCTCACGCCGTTACTTGATCTGGCCTGATAAAATGTTGCATTCAGCTTGAGTTTATCACTGCATTTTCATTTCATAGCTATTAGGGAGATTTGTCTTGTGGCAATACTTTGCGTATATCAAAGAAGTGTAGATAGCGACCAGAGTCGTCTGTAATTAAAGAAACACGTTGTTGTTTTTTTGGAAATAGGCTCATTTTACAACTCCTCTAAAGGTAAACAGTTTAGTTTTACCATGTTTGAATGCATTCAGTCAATCTCCAGCTCTGACCGGAGCACTTTTAGCTTAGCTTAGCATAAATCATTGAATCGGATTAGACCATTAGCATCTTGCTCAAATTTTTTTTTTGTTTTAAAGAGTTTTAATACTTTACTATTTAAAGATTGACTGTTTTTTAGTTACATTGTGTACTAAGACTGACAGAATATAAAAATGTGCTATTTTCTTGGCAGATATGAATAGGCAGTTCACTCAGTCAGGCGTAATAATCAAGAAATGTTGCTGTTGTGCTATGGCTGCAGCAGTTTAATGATATTACACAATGTAACTACACAAGAGTCAAACTTTAAATAGGAAAACTATTGAAACTCTTTTATTTTTGAATGAGATGCTAATGGTCTAATTCGGTTCAATTCTTTATGCTAAGTTAAGCTAAAAGTGCTCCCTCCTGACCCGGAGGTTGACTGAAGGAATTAAAAATTGGTCAAACTGAACTATTTAATTCTTTTTGGAAATAGGCTCATTTTACAACTCCCCTAGAGCTAAAAGTTTTACCATATTTTATTGCGTTCAGTCAATCTTTGGGTCTGGCAGGAACACTTTAAGCTTAGCTTAGCATAAATCATTCATTCGGATTAGACCATTAGCATCTTACTCATTTTTTTTTGTTTGTTTTAAAGAGTTTTGATAACTTTACTATTTAAAACTTGACTCTTCTTTAGTAACATTGTGTACTAAGACAGACAGAAAATTAAAATATGCAATTTTCTAGGCGGATATGGTTAGAAATTCTACTCATTCAGGCATAATAATCGAGAAACTTTGCTGCTGTACAGTGGCTGCAGACATGCGATGATATTACACAATGTAACTACTGGAGAGTTAACTTTAAGTAGGAAAATTATTGAAATATATATAATTTTTTATTTATTTTTCGAATGAGATGCTAATGGTCTAATTTGATTCAATGATTTATGCTAAGCTAAGCTAAAAGTGCTCCCGCCTGACCTGGAGCAGAAACTGGCTGAATTAATTAAAGTATGGTAGAACTCAACTCTTTTACACTATGTAACTTGTAAAATGAGACTGTTTCCCCCCAAAAAGTGGAGCGTTTCTTTAAAACACTATGAAATGTAAAGTTTCTAGCATCAGTCCCGCACAGAAAATCATGCTAAGATGCACTAAAGTTACCCAGCTGGAGGCCAACGAATGCGAGAGATGTTTTGCATGTCTGCTACTACTATGGAAGGCAAGGAAAAATTTAAATTTTTTTTTTTTTCTATCTCTTACCCTTCTTCTTAGCAGTGTCTTTGTATGCCTGTATAGTCGATGTTGCAATCATGGCTTTTATCAAGGACAACCTGTGGTGTGCATTGTTCTTATATGAGATGTTATGATATATATTTTTAAGTTTGTTCTCTTCTTCTTTGATTTTTCTATTCTTTTTTCCCTCTTCCTGTGACAGTATTTCTGTATGTGACTTTCACTATGCACCTAAACGGCTCCAGTCTTGGACCTTGTCATTGCCTGCTTGATTGTGAGATGGTCATGGGGTGAGGGGAAACCATACAAAGTTCATATATATTAGAAGTAAACAATGAGTGAATCCAATGGAAAATGGCTTCTTGGTTACAGGTGGGAAACACATCAATAAATTCACTACTTCCACAGAGGTGTCAGGAGTCTTTATTCTGCCTTGTGTGGTTTTTCAGCCCGCAAAATAACAATGCCAGTGACTCGCGACCCCCACATTTCTTGAAGGTGGTTAGAAACATACAAATGTTGCACACACAACAATCGGCCTACTGTATATACAGTGCATTCGGAGTGTTCATAGCGCTTGACTTTTCTCACTTTTTTTATTTGACAGCCTTATTCCAAAATGGATTAACTTCATTTATTTCCTCAAAATTCTACACACAAGACCCCTTAATGACAATGTGAAAAAGATTTTTTGAAATTGTTGCAAATTTATTAAAAATAAAGAACCTGAAAAATCACATGTACATTAGTATGCCGCATTTTCACTATTTATGACATGATAGTATATTTATAATAGTCATAGCAGTCAAAATGGGACAAATGAGCTCATGTATGGGACAAATTCTGGACCTTTGTCAGTGAGGGGTGGGTCTTTTGAGCCACCCGAACCTAACCTGGCTACGGGCCTGCAGTTTCTTCTAAATTACAGGTAAATATTTTCATTTAGAGCATATTTTAAAATCCGAATAACAAATTATTTGCCTGATTAATATTCAAAATTAAGGTTATTCCTACCAAATATTGATTATTAAACGGTTCTGAAGTTAAAGCATCTGTATTATGTCTGGAAATAAATCTAAATGTCTTAAAGAATGGTGCCTTTTTATTGCTTTATGTAAAAACAGTCTAATGAGAATAAATATTTCATTCTTTTTACTTCAGAATAAAACCAAAATTGCGTTTTACTTTAACATGACTGAGTAATTTAAAGCGTTTATATATATATATATATATATATATATATATATATATATATATATATATATATATATATATATATATATATATATATATATATTATTTTTTTTTTTATATATAAACTTTTATTTAGAAAATAAGAAATGTACAATATAAATCAGGAAGTAACATGTAGAAGACTGGAACACAAGAATATACAATTACAAAGTGATAATAACAATAAGTAAAAAAAGTAATAGAAAGAGGAATAAAGAGAACAAAATAAAGAAAGGGAAAGTACAAAATTTATTAAATAAAAAATACAGAAAGCATTAGTTACTAACATACTGGAAGCATGATATTTTCATAAGTTTTCTATTAACTTACAGAATTTTTTGTTGTTAGATAGACGTATAGCTTTAAGCAATGAATCAATTTTAATAAAAAACAATGGGCAAATGAGGGAGAGGATTTAAGAAATTTTTGTTTGTATATAAAGAATTTTGCATATAATATAAAAAAGTTATATACATATTCTTCATTTTTATTCCTGGGACTAGAATAATAACAACAAATAATATCTTTCAATTGAAAGATTTGTTTTGTTGATTGGGATTTATTCAAATAATTATATAGATCTGACCAAAACTTTTGTGAGATTTTACATGTAAAAAACATGCGAGACAAAGTTTTCTAATTTTCCTGACAGAAAGAACAAGTAATTGCAATATCAGTAAATTTTGAGATAAATGCATTGGGCATATTTTGTGTAGAATTTTTAAAATGGATTTCCTTTGCTTTGTTTGGGATTACATATTTATATGGGAGAAGTCATGTGCTTTTCCAAGCAATATCTTCTATTAATCTCTTGGACCTTTTAACCTCTTGGAGCATTTGATTTTTTTGTTGGAGAATTAGAAGAATAAGTTTGTTGTTGCATTTCTTATAATATATTTCTGTTCAGGGTTGTTTTTTATTATTTATATATGAAATATATATTTTTAAAGTTAAGTTAATTTATTAATTCTTTTGGGATAGTATTTAATATATATATATATATATATATATATATATATATATATATATATATATATATATATATGGCTGATTCCAGCGTTATGGACGTGACATTTGCAGTAAAAAAATGAAACGTATATTCTCAGAGAAGGTATATGTTAACAGTATATTGAAATATATGTTTATATTTTTCTTACCCCTTAACCATGGAGTTCAGGCATCAAAAAAATATCAGTCTATGCAGGTGTTTTATATTTAAAATGACGGCAAAATGAATGCGTTACGGACGTGACAAAAAAAAGACATGAGTTTTGTGAGTTGACATACTTTGTGAAAATTCTGTGAATGAAAATGCAGAAGACAAAAAAATATATAACAGTCAAAAGGATAAGGGTTGGCTCTGCATGGGACATATATAATTAATTGTATTTAGTTTTTCATTTTTGCATTAATGAGGAAAAACTATCGTTACGGACGTGACTTGTCTTCGTTACGGACGTGACTGCTCTGAAATTGACAGTTGACACATTACGAAAATCAGATAAATGCTTTCAAAACTTGACCAAAGACCTATTTGTGGATATCTGTTGGCTGTGTAAACCAATAAACTTTAACCTCTGAGACATCTGAATGGTAAGGTTGCACAATTAATCAAACTTAAATAGATATCACCTTGCTATATTTAATTCATATTATGGCATGTGTGTTGTTAAAGGTTAACGCACGTTCGAATGTTCAAAACTCAATTCGGTAACAATGTTGCATGCTAACATGGTGCTTTTATACTCTGAATAATATAGAATTTATAATAAACATAATCAGCTATAATGGGCCTATGTTTAGCAGGCTCCTAAAGTTAGTGTTTCCAGACAAACTTGAATTAAATCATTGCCCGACTGTTGCGCAAGACCGTGTCTACGTGGAGAATATTTAAAATCTAGTTTTGTCACAGATATGGCAATATTATATTTGACAAAGTTTATTTTAGTTTATTCTAGTTAATGTGTTAGTTGATGGAATAAATAATTTAATTTCTCCACTCGCGCTTGCTTTCTTTTTCTCGTCGGCAGTCACTTCAGGACAGGTTGCAAAAAGTTCATACGCACCAGGGTGAGAGAGAAAACTTTAAAACTTAAGAAAGGTTTTGTGTAGGCTATGTTAAACAAGCATAGAAAAATAGTCATTGGTTGTAGGCATGTACGATGGATGACTATAATGTTTATATTTTAGGCTATAGTTCATAACCGATTGTGTAAAATATTGAATTAAATATTTACAGCTGCAGGTCCTATCGATTTTCTAACAAATTTAATACTCATATAATGTAGTTAAAGCTTAGATCAATATCAAGATTTTATTCTTATTTTATTCTTATTCTTATTAAAATAATTTTAATAAGCACTCAAGCGCATTTGCCATTTTATTTAAAAAATTTAATTATGAAAACATTGACAGCAACACTCGCGCACAATAGACCAGCTGATTCAGTTGTTATCTATAGTGACATTCAAAAGAGCACCGTGCTCCTTTTCTTCTTGTCAACATAAAATGCATTGCGGAGCGCCTCACGTCTCTGGAATGAAGAAGCGCGTTCGTTGTGATCGGCTTTTATGAGCAACACATATTTGTTAACTCGCATGACAGTAACACGTGCAAACACACGTGCTTACAGATGTTTTTTTGCCAAAAAAAGCAAAATGAAAGAAGGATTTTCTGGCCACAGTTTGACACAGGAGTTGACGAACCAGCGCTGATCCTGGTCGTCTGTGCTGCCTGGAGCCGCGTCATAAACTCAACTAGGCATATTCATGATTTAGTGCAGACTACTATCAACAAACCACCCTTTTTTCCATTTCGAAAATAACAGTTATTAATAGTTCTTATATACATTTTAAATAGCCTAATCTACAAATCAAACAAAGACAAATATTTTATAACTTCGCACCAAACTGATGCTTTCATTTTACAGCTTATAAAACATGTATGCAAATTAATGCAGTATCACATGTAAATAACAAAATTGTTATATGCTTAGCCTATACTTTACAAAATGTATAGGTTCAAAGCCTTATGGTTCATTGTCATTATATTTCACTATAGGCAGCGCGTGCGCACATGAACCGCAAGTAAGACGGAGGAAATAGGTCATTATGGCCAATTATGGCAATATGTAAAATGTTGTTTTCTTATTAAACATTTATTTCTGAAATGTTACTAAAGTGGTTTATAGTTAAATGAAATGTTCAGTTCTTGATATAACATATATGTTATGTAATGTAAGTCAGTAATTGTAATGCAGCATCATAATGAACAAATATGCGCTAGTCATTGGCTTAAATTAATAAGGAGTTCAAAAATGGTCACGTCCGTAACGCAAAATTGTGGTTGTTCAGAGCAAAGACCTGAGATGAGTTGGCGATCATAAGTAGTATGGACATATTTTGGCTTTGTATACAAAGTTTCATTTTATTTGTTATAATATTTATTCCACAATATAAACTTTTTCATTAAATCGTTACGGACGTGACACGTGACCGAAGCTGCGTGATGTCTTAAATATGTAGCTCATAAATCAAAAGGGCAATAATGTTATGAAAAAGTAAGGATAATTATTTATACTACAGACTCCAATCCTTCTGCAGAATGATTACTGTTAACATAAAGCATGGAAAAGGTGAGTCTTTAACCCCTTTTTTGAAAGCACGAAAAGTGGTTGGATGATAATGAAAATTAGCATTGGCACAATCCTCATATTTCATGGATAAACAAAACAATTTCCTTAAAAATTCAACAAGAGCACATCATAACAGTAAAATATAGACCTTAATAAGCAAATTGAAATAGGTTTTGTTATTTTGGTCAAAAGTTTATTTTTTCATGATAAGGTTGACATTTTCATGGAATTGGTCATATATATATATATATATATATATATATATATATATATATATATATATATATATATATATATATATATATTCTTGTGTGACGCGCTTGAAATGTCATTGGTAGGTATGTCACGTTTTCTTTTTTCCATTGGACGGCCTTGAAGGTGTTCTCGTTTATTCATTGGTTGGGAGAAATGCGGACAATTCTCATTGGCGCTCAAGAAATAAATACCACATGAGAGCAACACACCGACGATATCTAAATACAAAAACAAATTATACAGGTCTACATTAAAAATAAACGACGAGGAATTTGCTCACTAC